CGCATGTTTATATGTTTAGCCCCGCCTGTTGGAACATCAGGGTCTTGAGGGCACGGCGGAAAGCACGGAGATCAGGGATATTCCGTATCTCCGGGGGCAGTTCATTCCAAAGGGTTGGAGCCCCCACAGAGAAGGCCCTCCCCCTGGGAGTCGCCAGTCGACATAATTTGACTGACGGTACCTGAGTAGTCCCTCCCTGTGAGAACGAACTGGTCGGTGGGAGGCTATTGGTGGCAAAAGATGGTCTCGTAGGTACCCAGGTCCTAAGCCATGGAGCACTTTAAAGGTGATAACTAACACCTTGAATCGCACCCGGAAGACCACCGGGAGCCAGTGCAGCTCGCGTAGGAGAGGTGTTACATGGGCGTAACGAGCTGCGCCCATAATCACCCGCGCGGCTACGTTCTGGACCAGTTGGAGCCTCCGGGTGCTTTTCAAGGGGAGCCCCATGTAGAGAGCATTACAGTAGTCCATACGGGAGGTAACTAGGCGCCACCGAAGGCAGGGAGAGGAGAGGCGTCTGAAGAAGCCAGGGGAGGGGCTGCTTTCCAGGGCACAGCAAGTTGCGGGAGCAGGCTGGGAGGTGGGCGGGTTGTGTGAAACCAGCTCCCCGCCAGAAAGGCCGGACTTGGTGCCCCCCCACGCAGCCCCGCCTCTCTCCAGCTCTGCTCTCCGAAGGGGAGGGAAGGCCGCTCCCTCTGCCCAGAGCCCCGCCCTCCCTGTTGGGGCGGTCAAACCACGTGGCAGATTCGAGCCTCCTTTTAGCTAGAGCCCGGAAACGCTTGCGACTCCCCGGCAGCGCCCCGCCCACCGCGCATGCGCCCTGCAGGAGGAGACCCCAGCGCCACTAGGGGCAGCAGCGCGCCCGCCCGCCTTGGGACTCTTCCCCTTGCGGCGGCGACCAATCAAGGCGCTGTTGCCGAGGCCAGGAGGACGCAGGCGGGGCCTTCTCATCCCGTGACCCTCTCTTCTGTGCCGAGGGGCGGGGCTGAATGAAGGACGGGCGCGCCAGCCAGCCAGGGGAAAGCCGGCAGCGTCCGCGACGGTGATTGATTGGAGACGGGGCGGGGGGAGCTAGTCCTCGGTTTAAGACAGCAGCGAAGCCCACAGTTACAGTCGCCAGCCGCGCCGGTCCTTAAGCAGCCCTAGGCGACGGGCCAGCTTTGCGAGCGTTTTTGTGGAGCTCAACCACCGTCACGTGACCTCGGGATGCGGCCGGTGGGCGAACTGCGGGCCGAGCGCTCAAAGTGCGGCCACGTGACTGCCGGAGCTGTGAACCCGGGTGGGCAGCACTTGTTGGGGGGGGGGCGGGGCGGTGAGCTGTCATAAGTGGTGGGTAAATCGTAGCGCAGCCCATAAGTAGCCAGCAGGGGCGGCCGGTGGCTCAGGAGGAGAACCGGCCTTCCTTCCTTCCTTCCTTGGGGTGCCAACGCAGCCAACAAGCCCTGCCAGGCTCCGGCCGCTGGCACAACAAGCAGGGCAGCCACCAAAGAGGAGCGCCTGCATTTGGGAGTTTTGCAGGGCTGGAAAAAGCCACCGGCCAGGGAAGAGCCTGGTGGCTCAGCAGACTAAAGCACTGTTATTAACATCAAGCTGTCTGCAGTTACTGTAAGTTCAAATCTCACCAGGCTCAAGGTTGACTCAGCCTTCCATCCTTTCTAAGGTAGATAAAATGAGGATGCGGTTTGTTGGGGCAATAAGCTGACTTTGTATAAATATTTATTTATTTTTTGTTTATTTTATATCCAATTTATATACCGCCCTTCTCCCTGAGGACTCAGGGTGGTGTACAGCCGAATAAAAACATAAATTACAAACATTAAAATAGTATTAAAAGAATATATATAAATTTGGCCCCGTAATTTAAGAACAATAACAAATCCATTTAAAACATTTAAAAAATTAAGAAAAAAAAAGTTAAGCCAGCCCGGCTTGCTGAAAAAAGAGGGTTTTAAGGGCATGGCGGAAGGCACCGAGGTCTTGGATTCTCCTAATCTCTGGGGGCAGTTGGTTCCAGAGGGTGGGTGCCCCCACAGAGCAGGCCCTCCCCCTGGGGGTCACCAGCCTACATTGTTTGGCTGATGGCACCCCGAGGAGGCCCTCTGTGGGAGCGCACGGGTCGATGGGAGGCCGTCGGTAGCAGCAGGCAGTCTCGAAGATATCTAGATCCTATGCCATAGAGCGCTTTAAAGGTGATAACCAACACCTTGAAGCGCACCCGGAAGACCACTGGGAGCCAGTGCAGCTCACGCAGGAGAGGTGTTGTATGGGAGTGCCATGCAGCTCCCGTCACTATCCGTGCGGCCGCATTCTGGACCAGTTGGAGCCTCCAGGTGCCCCTCAAGGGGAGCCCCATGTAGAGAGCGTTGCAGTAGTCCAGGCGAGAGGTGACGAGGGCATGAGTGACTGCGCAATGTACAATATACAAAAGTATGAAGGCTATTGCTTAACGCATTGTAAGCCGCCCTGAGTCTCCGGAGAAGGGTGGCATATAAATCAAATTAAAAGAAAAAAGAAAAAAGAAAAAGGTCCCACCAGGAGGTGGTTCAGCAGCAGCTGCGGATTAAGGCGGGGGGGGGGGGGAAATCATTCACTCTGCAGGCTTAAGCAGGCGAGTGCAGATCTCCAGGAGGAGGGTTGATTGTACACATGGTACACATAGTATCTTCTGACCCGTCCACTGTGATTATCAAGTTTGCAGATGATGCCACCCTATTGGGCCTCATTACAGGTGGAGACAAGCAGCATACAGGAGGGAGGTTCAAAAATTATCCACATGGTGCTCAGAAAACAACTTGCATCTGAACATCAGCAAGACAGAGGAGATGGTGCTAGACTTCCAGAAGAGAGAGGAACCTGCCCCACTTTACATCAAGGGAGGGCTGTGTGGAGAGAGTCCCCTCCTTCAAATTCCTGGGAGTCCATTTTAGCAAAGATCTCAGCTGGAAAAATAACACAATCCAGGTGCCCAGGAGGGCTCAACAGAGACTCCACTTCCTTAGGGTCCTGCGGAAGAGCAAGGTGGGACAACAACTGATGACCACCTTTTACCGGTCCACAATAGAAAGCGTCCTCACTTACTGCATTACGGAATGGTATGCTGGCTTGACAACTGCGGATAGACAGACACTACAGAGGGTGATGAGCACGGCACAAAACATCATGGGCTGTCCCTGACGCCACTAGACAAAATCGCTAGGACTCACTGGCAACAAAAGTGAGTCCACCCCTAACTGATAATGTCCAAATGGGGCCCAAGTGGCTGTTTTCCCTCCCTGGTGTCATGTGACTCATTAGTGGTACAAGGTCTCAGGTGTGAAGGGGGAAGCAGGTGTGTTACATTTGGTGTTCTCGCTCGCTCTCATACTGGTCACTAGAAGTTCAACATGGCACCTCATGGCAATGAACACTCTCAGGATCTGAAAAAATGAATTGTTGCTCTACATAAAGATGGTCTAGCCCTAGGCTACAAGAAGATTGGCAAGACCCTGAAACTGAGCTGCAGAATGATGGCCAAGAGCGTACAGCGGTTTAACAGGACAGGTTCCACTTGGAACAGGCCTTGCCATGGTCGACCAAAGAAGTTGAGTGCCCGTGTTCAGCGTCCTATCCAGAGATTGGCTTTGGGAAATAGATGTATGAGTGCTGCCAGCATTGCTGCAGAGGTTGAAGTGGGGAGGGGGTCAGCCTGTCAGTGCTCAGACCATACGCTGCATCAAATTGGTCTGCAGGGCTGTCGTCCCAGAAGGAAGCCTCTTCTAAAGATGATGCACAAGAAAGCCCGCAAACACTTTGCTGCAGACAAGCAGACTTAGGACGTGGATTCCTGGAACCATGTCCTGTGATCCGATGAGAGCAAAAAAAAATTATTTGGTTCAGATGGTGTCCAAGCGTGTGTGGCGGCCACCAGGTGAGGAGTACGAAGACAAGTGTGTCTTGCCTACAGACAAGCGTGGTGGTGGGAATGTCATGGTCTGGGGCTGCATGAGTGCTGCTGGCACTGGGGAGCTACAGTTCATTGAGGGAACCAGGAATGCCAACATGTACCGTGTCATATAGAAGCAGACCATGATCCCCTCCCTTCGGAGATTGAGCCGCAGGGCAGTATTACATAACGACCCCAAACACACCTCCAAAATGACCAGTGCCTTGCTAAAGAAGCTGAGGGTAAAGGTGATGGACCGACCAAGCATGTCTCCAGACCTAAACCTATTGAGCGTCTGTGGGGCATCCTGAAACGGAAGGGGTAGGTGTGCAAGGTCTCTCCACCAGCTCCATGACGTCATCATGGAGGAGTGGAAGAGGACTCCAGTAGCAACCTGTGAAGCTCTATGCCTAAGAGGGTTAAGGCAGTGCTGGAAAATAATGGTGGCCACACAGAATATTGACACTTTGGGCCCCATTTGGACATTATCACTTAGGTGTGTACTCACTTTTGTTTTCAGCAGTTTAGACATTAATAGCTGTGTGTTGCATTATTTTGAGGGGACAGCACACAGTTATACAAGCTGCGTACTCACATTGTAGTCAAGTGTCATTTCTTCAGTGTTGTCATGAAAAGATATACTTAAATATCTACAAAATGTAGGGGGGTGTACTCACTTCTGTGATATACTGCATGTATGGAGGATCGTGTGTTAGTATGATTTACTGGGTTAGGGATTTTCTTTCATTCACTGAGTTATTATGTGTGTGTGTGGGGGGGGGATGCACTAAGGGAGGCCCAGCCAATCTCATTGTACACATGTTGTGCATTAACAATAAAGGTCTGAAATTGTTACCTAACCCTAACCCCAAGCAGGGCAGGCAAGGAGGGGCACATCTTTCTAGGGTCCCAGCACTGCAGGTTTTGTCCCAGGGGGAGCTTCTGCAGGGGGAAAGCTGCTTTCAGCCCCCCCCCCCCAGGTTCTTGCAGCATGGGGCAGACATGGCCCTGGGCAAGGAGCAGCTGCACCACCTCCCTCCCTCCCGCCCCCATCCAACACCTGACACAGTGGACATTTATTTTCAGAATACTTTATTTGTACATAATTCCATTAGCACGTGGCTGCCTCTGCTCAGCCAAAGGGGAGGGGCGTGTAGAAAGCCAGGGGCAGGAGGGCAGAGCTGGCGCTCTTTGGGAGACCGGCTGAGTTGGGTTGGGCATCATCGGCCAGGCTGGGGGCGGGCAGCACTTCCAAGGGGCTGGGAAAACTGACGCTGCATCCCTTCCCCCCTGTGCAGGACAGCTCTTTCCCAGCCACCCCCCCCCCAAAGCACAGGACTCCCATGGGGCCTCTGGCTGCTCCCCCAGCCCCTCTTGGCTCCATATAGGGAGGCGCCAGACTGGCCGAAGAGCTTTTTTTCCAGAAGAATAGCTGGCTGGCCCAGAAATTCACCCAGTTGGGAAAATGGAGAGTGGGGGTGATGGGTGGGTAAAGCGAATCCCACCCCCATGGCCAAGGGGGTGGGGCCTGGCCTTCTCAGTGGAGCCCTAACTTCCAGCTCCTGGGAAGTCATCTGGGTCCCCCACTAGAAGCCTCTGTCGGCTTCGCTGCTCTCCACAGGCATTGCAGAAACCCTAACCCCTTTCTGGGCAATGATAAAGTGCAGAAAAAAACAAGGGAAGGAACAATCCGGGGTGGGGGTGGGGAGGGTGGAGCCGGGTGACTCAAAGGGATTCCTACTTGGGAGGACTCGGGCAAGACCCCCGAGAGCCATAAAAGCAAGAGCTGCATGGTGCCCGTAGGGAGGCCTTCCCCCCCGTCACTGGAAAAGGTCAGCTTTTTGGGAGATTGCGGGACCACCCACACCCCCACTCCCTAGAAGCCGTCCCAATGCTGCGTAGCTGCCATTGTGGCTGTTGGCACCCTTCACACACAGCTGCCAGAGCCCCCAACCTGGTGTGGAGGACCCGGAGGGCCAGCCTGCCCCCAAGCGCATAGTCCAGCAGGCGGGCCAGAAGGGACTCGGAGAGCCCCCCCTTCCAGCCTGCCCTGCCAGGGTTACTGCAGGTAGCGGTAAGCCTTGAAACAGTGGTTGCCCGAGTCGGCCACCACCACGTGTCCATCCGAGGTGAGTGCCAAGCCCTGTGGCCCATAGAGTGGATCCGCCGTGGTGTTGATGTAGGACAGGAAGGAGCCTGAGCTGTCGAAGACCTGGAAGAGAGGAGGGGGCCCTGAACTCTTGTCGGGAGGCAGCGCTGCCACCACGGCCGATCTTGTGAGTCAAGAGGAAGGGCACCTCTCTGCCCATGGACTCCAATGGCCACTTCTGGTCACTAAATCTCAAAAGCCATGTGGCTCATTCAGAAGGGGCAGGAAAGGGTAACAATAATAATTAGGGGCTGGAGCCCCTCCCCAACGGGGTGCAGTCAGGTTCGGGCCTGAAAGGAGTCGCCCTCCAGTCCCACCAGACCGGGAGCCAAGTGGTCAGGCCCACTTTGCAGGAATGGGGTGTGGCTGACCAGTGGCAGAAGGGAAGCTCTGTACCACATACTGGCCACACCCCAGCACAAAGGGCCATGCAGCAGGAGCACCAGCGGCTACACCACCCCCGGAAGCAAGAGTCAAGAGTTCGAGTCACTGCCTTCAACCCCGTAGCTCAAGGGACACTGGGAAGAGGTTGCTGGATCATTAGAACCCCCTGTCTGGGGGCCCATGAAGGACCCCAAAAGAGATGGAGGACTAGATTGAAAGCCTCTGCTTTGATGAACGGGCTCAGCCCTGATTTTAGTGGCAATTGAAGAGGTAGCTGGCCCTGGAGCCACCTCTGCACCTCCGGGACATGTCAGCTGTCCTCAGAATTCAGCCCCAGGCTGGCTGCTGAGGAGGAAGAGGCTGAGCTGGCCAGCTCCCATCAAGCACCTGGATCCGGCTGTTTCCCCAGTCGGCCACAATGATGTTCCCATTGGAATCCACAGCCACGCCCGTCGGAGCGTTGAACTGCCCGTTCCCCTCACCGTGGGAGCCAAACTTGAAGAGGAACTCTCCGTCTGCACTATAGACCTGAGGACAGGAAGGGAGATGGCTTGGCGGAGCTTCCCAGGCCCAGCATGGCACCACAAGAGGGACCGCCTGGCTTGGTCTGGCCCCTGCCTCCAGCTGCCTGCTGGGTGATTTGGGTGTGTGGGCGTGTGCAAAGGAACCAAAGGTGCAGGGTTTGGCTTTGGGAGAAGCGCTTCCCTCTCCAGCAGCCACGGAGCCTCCCCATAGCCAGTGGGGCCCAAGAATCCTCACCCCCCCCCACCTCGCTTCAGCACAGGCATGTTTCTCCTCCTCAAGGCAGGAGAAGGGCTGGGGGGGGCAGGGGGGAGCTGAGGCCCATAAGTCACAGGAGCAGCTGAGTGCCCCAGCCAAGCTTTTCTCACAGCAATAGCCCAGTTCCCCTTCCGGACCCCAATATCACCTGGAATGGGCGGGGTTCCCCCTCACCTTCACAGAGTGGTTGTGGAAGTCGGTCACCACAATTTCATTCTTGTTGTTGACAGCCACGAAGTGTGGTCCTGAGCAAAGAAAATGGGAGGAAAGAAGTGAGGAAGAGCCCCACTGCTAGGAGCAGATGAGTCCAGAAGGAATGAGCCACTGGAAAGGGCCTGAAAATCGGAGACCAGGGAGTGCGGGGGCTGTTCCTGATCCTGAAGATAACGAACAAGAGAAAAAGCTCCAGCTTCTCCGCCCCAACCCCCCCAAAAGTCTATGTGGTACAGAAAACCCCCCAAATCTCTGAAGGCTTATAACAAGCTTAGGCTCCGGATCAGCAACAGGGAACATTCAGCCAAAGGCAGCCCCGGAGAGTCTAGCTGGGCTGATCGGCCAGAGCCAGAGAGATGCATCCGAGGACAGCCGTTGCAGCCATGGGCTGCTCTGTAGGGCAGCTGAACGGGCACTGTCTCCACAAAGACCCAGCAGAAATGCTGGCAGAGCAGATCACTTGCCGACCCTTGCTCCAGTTTGGGGAAAGGGCTGGTTGGGGGCATAAACTCAACCCTTGTCTGCCCCAACATTTCCATCGCTCCCGAAGAGTGAAAGCTAGCAAGAGGGAATCTGCTTCACTACCCACCCTCTGCCGGGCACCCAGAGGAGGATTCTAGCAACTGGAAGGACCCACCTGCCCACGGGTGGCAATGGAAGGCAACAGTCCAAACGCAAAGGAGGCAGGGGGCAGTCCCCCTCTTCCGATGCCACACTCTCACGGGCAGGACAAGGATGGTCCCGAGAGGGTGCCTTCCCAACCCTTCCCAGCTGGGCCTGAGGCATAGGAGAGGAACTACTTGGGGCACCTGCAAACTGGCGCTCCGACGTGCCACGGCTCCCAAACTTGGCTACTAGCTTCCCGTTAGATTGGAAGATGAAGACGCAGCACGCCTTGTTGTCCACCACAATTATGTGCCCGTTGCGGTCCACCGCCACACCCTTGGGGCCCATCAGGCGCCCAGCTCCAATCTTGGTCTGGGGAGAAAGGCAGAAGGGCATGTGCCAGCTCCAGGGCATCAACACATGGATGTCAGCCCCGGGAGCAGGTCCTCCTGACCCCTCGGCCTGATCATCTGGCAGCCCCCTCCCTTCAGAGGACGTATCAGGCACAAGGGCTGTGCAGCCTTCCCCAGTCCCCACTGCAGCCGATCAGTGGACCAACACTCCCCAACCAACATGGGTTGCAACACAAGTCCCATGACCCACTCCCTGCTCCAAGCACTGAGGTCTGGAATCCAGCATATCTGAAGGGGCTCAGCCAGAGGACTGGCCCACCATTGGGCAAAGGCAGATGGCAGGCTGACCTGATGAGGATCACCAAAACCACCAGAGACTCTGACCTCCACATCTGCCTCCCCAGATGCTCACCTTGAATTTGCCCTCAGGGGAGAAGATGCTGACCCAACGATTGTCATAGTCTGCGATGATGATGTCACCATTAAGATCCACTGTGACCCCAGTTGGACGCTGTAGCTGTCCAGGAGAGCGTCCCCGTACACCGAAACGCAGCCTGAACTGGCCCTCGTTGGAGAAGACCTGGTGGGTGGGGGGAGGGGAAAGCACGCCTGTGAAGGGGTCCCGGGTAGCCACCCTGGTGCCTGCAGAGGAGCTGTTCCTACCTGCACACACTGGTTGTTGCTGTCTGCCACCACGATGCGCCCACTGCTGGAGGTGGAGATGCCCTGCAGGTTGGTGAATTCACCTTTTTCCCGGCCCCGGCTTCCTGCCAAGAGAGGGGCACCGAGTGAGGCCAGGAGTGGGCCACCAAACCAGCCAGGAGCTACAGTGGCCCTTTTGCCCTCCCTCCCACCCAGGCACCGACCGACACGGAAGATCAGTTCATCCTCAATGGGGTTCTCCTTCTTCTTGCCACTGCTGTACATGCTGGAGGGGCGGCGGACTGCCTTCTGGCGGATGTGGCCGCTGCTGGGAGACTTCACACGGCGCTTGACATCATCTGGGGAGGGGGGCACATCAGATGCCTTGACAGCCTTGACCCGGAAGGGACTGCTGCGGATGGGCTGTCCATAGAGGCATATGGAGAGGACGTGGTCGCCCTCCTGACGCGGCGTATAGAGCAGTTCGTAAGTGCCATTCTTGTTGTCCTGAACCTCGTGCTCCAGGGCGCAGTTGTCAGGCGCCACCACCTCAGCCTGCAGGCAGGCGCTGCCATTGCGCACCAGCTCCCCATCCTTGTCCTTGGTGGTGATTGTCAGCGAGGCGGCCTGGCCCACCACAGCATGGCGGAGGCCTTCACCGGTCGCCACAGTCTTGTGGGCAATGGCGCTGGTGGTGAGCAACACGCCCAGATTCAGGATGGACTTGCGCACACCCTCCGTCTCCACCACGTAGTCCACCTGGGCGTTCTCGTGGGGCTGCTCAGGGAACTCCCGACTGGCCAACTCGCTCAGCCGCTCACTCATTTGCTTCTTCACCAGCAGCACCTCCGTCTCCGAGCCGTGGTCCAGGGCCTGCTCAGTGAAGCTGCAGCTGCTGCTGATGTTCTCCTGGCCCTGGCGCAGGACTTCCAGCTGGGCCTGCAGCACCTGAGCCAGGGAAGAAGAGGCTCAGCCCTGCCCAGCCAAGAACCCCCAGGAGCTGGCTGGGGCGGGACACCCACTCTTTAGCTGCCAAGGAGCAGGGGAGGGCTGGCCAGGGTGAGTGGCCCCACCTGGCTTGGGAGGCTTTGGCCATGGAACCAAGGCACTGAGGTCCTCTCAACCATGTGCCTTCTCAAACTGGGGGAGGAAGCAAGGGGGCTGCCAGGGCCCCAGAGGAGATCCCCTAAATTATCTTGGTTTACCTTTTGTTTGGCCCCACAGAGGGCTTCCAGGTCTCGGACCAGTAGCCCCTTACGCTGCCCCAGCGCCTTCTCCAGCTCAGTAAAAGTACTCCCAATCTCGGCCACCGCATCGTTCTTGCGCTCCGCCAGCTGCTGACTGATCCCAGATACGAGTTCCACGGCTGTGGCTAGCTGTGGCAGGCTGGGAGACAAGGAGGACCCCTCAGGAGCCTGAGCTGTGCAGCAGAGTAACAAAACCCCAACCCCCGAGCTGGACCTGCAGCCGTGGGCAGCCCACCCGGGCAATACCGGCTCTTGATGGCGTCCAACTGCTGGCGCAGCGAAGCCTTGTGCTGCTCCACCACATCCCGCAGAGGCACGGTCACATGCTCCCGGTGCTCTCCCACTGTGCACTCGTGGCACATGGCCGTTTCACAGGCCTCGCAGTAGTACTCCATGGTCTGGGGGCAGATGGGGAAGTTGGTAAGCCCTGGACTCTTGAGATCCAATCCCCAGCCAGCATGGCTGCCTTGGGGACAGGCCCCCCCACCTCCCGCCCGCAGGAAGCCCCTCTGGTTTGGGAAAAGAATGCAGAGATGTGGATGCCCCACCCATCCTCCCGCTGGCCAGGGAAAGCTTCTGGGCAGAGGGGCAAAAAAAGGGGCCAGCAAAGCCACTCCCACTGATCCTCCCCAACAGCATAAGCTCCACACATACTTTCCCCTCGTGATTTGGGCAGGAAAGCGGCTTGCCCGGCACAGCACTGACAGAGTCCAGCATGGCGATGGCGTCCTCATGGCCGGCACTGTCGGGCTGGCGCTGGAGCACTTCCATGAGGTTCGTGATGAAGAAGTTGTTCTGCAGGGCGGCGACCCCCTTCTCCGGGAGGATGGAGGTCTGGCGGCAGACGGGGCAGGAGAGGGTCAGGCTCTGGGGAGGGATGTAGTTCTGGAGACACCTGGCCAAGGGGGCAAAAGGTGAGTCAAGATGGGCACCAGACCTTGGCAGAAGGCAGAGGCCGGGCGGGCGGGCCCTCAGCCACAGCCAGCCCTCGAAAGGATCAAGTTGGGGAGGCAGGCACTGGGTGTCCCAAGTAGCCAGCCAGCCCTCTTGCACCAGTCCTCCCCATGCCAGGCCCATGCTTGGGGCTCCTGCTCTTCCAACCAGCTGTAGGCATCAGAGGTTTTGGATGAACCACCACGGTCTGGCCACTGCCTCGACACCTCCAGCCCACCCCTCGTGCGGGCTCTTCTTCCTTGCAGCCACCCCCAACAAGGATGCAGTTTCAGTGCAGAGGATGGTGTCTGTCAACAAGGTCATGCCACACCCAGCAGAGGATTGGCACACAAAATCTTTTGCCCGCCTGAACACACTCAAGTGTCCAGCTCTCCATGCAGTGCTGGAAGAGAGCGAGCCAAGCTACTCCAGGCCTTGGCTCACTGCATGGAAAGCCGGGAGGGGGGCAGCTTCCCTCTCATGGGCAGGGTGGGATAGGAAGAGAACCATGGGCCTGCTCAAGCAGGGATGAGCAAGTTCTGAGCAAGATTTGCACCCAGAGCCCGATACTTCCAACTCCAGGCCAGGGAGCGGCTGCAGCTGAAACACTCAGCCAGGCCAAAGGGAAGCAGGTTCTCTTCCCCAGAGGAGGGGGTGTCCGGGTCTCTCGAGTCCCGCCAGCTCTGTGGCTGTAACATTCTGCTCAGGAGACGCAGCAAAATATTCCCTATTTGTTTATGCCCAGACAATCCCCCAAAGGTGGGTCACACCTAAGAAGCCAAGAGTCACATGCAAGAATCCCCCCAAACACCTCAGTTGCCACCCTGTTGCCACCTTCAAAGCCAGCCTGTTGCCCACAGAGCAGCCTTGGCACAGAGGAGAACCCCATTGCCCTGATGGCCGAGACAGGCACTGCACCAGGGAGCAACCCTTGAGCCCCTTCCCCAGACCTAGTGGCAAGGCCCAAACACCGGGTCACTGGTTTGGACGCAGCTTCACGGAGAGCTGAGCCCTGGGGGAGGGGTTTTGGCAGTGGTGGGTTGCCCCCGGTTCACACCGGTTCTATAGAACTGGTAGTAAAACCGGCAGGAGGCTCCGCCCACTGACCCAGACATCATCAGAACGCTTTTGCGCATGCACAGAAGAGCATGCGCGCTGCCCCGTTGCGAACCAGTAGTAAAGGTAAGTAGAACCCACCCCTGGGTTTTGGGCAGACCTCTTAGATGGGCCGCCCTCGGCAGCTGTCTATGCGGGAAGTGTCCTCTGGTCAGGAGTTGGAGCCCAGTGGAGAGCTTTGTCCAATGCAGAAGCAAAGGGGCCCATTTTGGCTTTGGGGGACTGCAGAAACCAGCGCAGCTGCTAGCAAATTCTGCCCCAGACAAATCCAGCTAACAATAAGTATGGGGTGGGGACCAGAGACAACATCACCAGCAGTGTCCAACATATGGGAGACCAAAAGGCCAGTCACCTCTTTGCTTCTGAGCAAAGTTTAAAGGGTCTCCTTGACAGTGGGAGACAAGTGGGCTGCCCAAAGGTCAGCACTGGTCAAAGAGCCTGACTGGGTCACCCAAGAGGCATCACTTCCAGGAGCAGAATTTGCTCCATCCAGGACCTTCGGGGACTTGGCAGTCTGCCTATGCTGTGATTGTACGAATGACCTTGGCAGAGAGGAGGCAGAGCCACAAAATCCAACAGATTTCAGAACACGCGCGCGCACACACACACACACACACACACAGGGTCTTTGGGAGAGTGAAAGGCGGGAGAGGGGGATAGTTTCCATCCTGCAAGGATCTGTTGTCCCTTTACAAGAAAGACAGAGCTAGGACTCCCTGCAATATTCTCGGCTGGGCTACCTTGGAAGGCAAAAGGTCTGCACACAGGTGTGCTTATTATGCAAAAAGCTGCGTTTAAAACGATTTGCTCTGGCTGAAGCAGGTTTGGCGCCCCTCGCTGGGATCCCTGGCATGGGGAATTTTCTGCCTTCTAATATTACAGATGCCTGTAAGGACCCTCAGCATCTCCAGCCAGGGATCCCAGTTAGCAAAGATGGCCATTGGTTCAATCAATCCTGCTTGGGTGGGTTCCGCTCCCCCCCCCCCCATCCTTCTTAGACTGTCGCACATATTCAAAGCCTCAGAGGAAAGGCAGAGGCTGCAGTGCAACCACGTCCAGCGCCAGACCCACCGCAGCCGCTTCGGCAGACTGCAGGCTTTGGGGCTCCTGCAAACCTCGGGGGGAGGGGGGCAATCTGCGGAGGGGGGATCGAGGAGAAGAGCTCCTCCGCCCACGCAGCGCCCTGATCCGCTCAACGAGCCACTTGGCCGGACGCCAACAGCCACTCGTGACTCCCCCCCCCCCGGGCAGGCGGCGGGGCCGCGGCTCTCACCTCTCGCAGAAGGTGTGAAGACACGGCAGCACCTTGGGGTTGTGGTAGCGGTCCAGGCAGATGCTGCACACCAGGAACTGCTTGTCGATCTGCCGCACCACCGGGCTGGAGCTCGACTCGCGCTTGGCCATGGCGAGGGCCGGCTGGAGGCTGCGCGGCGGCTCTGGCTGCTGCTCTGCCCGGGAAGAGACAAGCGGCCCTCCGGCCCTCAGCCCCGGCCGACGGGAAGGACGAAGGGCGGCCGCGCCTCCGCCGGACTTCCTCTCGCGGGAGGCGGCAGAGCGCGGAGCCGCATCCCCCCACCCCACCCCTCCCCCGAGCATGCGCCGCGCCATTCGCCTGCGACCCCCGCGCCCGCCCGCCGCCCTCGCCGCCCCCGCCCCGAAAAAAGGAGGCCTCTCACCAGCCGCGCCCGGGGGCTTCCGGCCTTTCGACGCGGAGGCTGCAGCTGCGGGCGGCTCCTCCTCTTCCCTGGAGGGAAACCGGGCCGGGGACGCTCCCGGAGGCAGGCCGCCCGCCACGCCCTTCTGCGGAGACGGCCGGCCTAATGGCACCGCCGCCCTCCTCGCTGGCTGGGCTGGGCGGGGACGGTGCCTGCGCTCCCGCCCTCCTCCCGCCGCGGCTTCCGCTCACCGCAAGAGCTGCCCGGCCAGGAGGCGTCAGCGCGGGCGGCGTCCGGAGCGCGGAGCCCGCATCTCCCTCTGCGGCCGCGATGCCGCTCCCGGTGGCGGCGCTGCGAGCGGGCTGCTCTTCTCACCGCATCCCCTCTGCTGATGGGGCCGGAGCATACCACTGCTGGCGGCGCGGGGGGGAGCAGAGCGGAATCACGCCTTGCGCCCTCCGCAGCGAGCTCGGCGCCGCCCTCGCCCGTCCCTCTCGCCGAGCCCGAGGGTGGGTCGGCCACCGAGGAGGCGGGACGGTGGCGCTGCCCCGCCTCGCTCCCCCGCCGCCGCCGCAGAATGGTCGCACCCGCCGAGCCCGCTTCAGAGCTGCAGCAGCTGCGGCTTCTCCGCAGTGCCCGAGCGGGCAGAAGCGAGCGGGAGGAGCGGCGACGGGTGGATCCACTCTCGCCTCGGGGGCAGCCCAGCCCGCGCGGGGAAAAGCCCTTGGCTGCAGCGGGAGCCGAGGGATGGTGGTTGCCATAGGAACTGCATCTGGGCAGAAGGTACCAGAGCAGGCGGGGGCGTGGCAGGAGCAGCGGTGCTTCTGTAGACGGAGGGGCTCCAGCCCACCCACGCCAGGCTGAATGGGTAGAGCATCCCCCCCTCAATCACATGCATGCCCCCCAAGATGCCCCCCTCTTTTTCTGGAGCCCCTGGCCAGGCCCTCCTCGAAGTCCACCCAGGAATTGTTTGTGGGCACCTTTCCCTTCAGCCTCCCAGGCAGAGGAGGGGCATCACACTGGCCTGGCAATCCAGAGCAGGAATCGTACGGCACTTCTGTGCTCCCAGGCGGCCTCCCCACCCATCCTCGGGATCTGAGCCCCACGGGCCCACACTCCAGTTCCAGCCAATGGGGAGAGGCTGCTCTGCACCCCTGGCCACCCTCTCAGAGCTTTCAGGGTGAAGGAAGCCAGCAAGGGCGGCCGAACCAGCTGGCCCTGTGGCCTGGTCCGGCCCTTCACCAGAGACAGGACCCAGCTGAGGAAACGCTGGCCAGGCTAGGGGGCGGGCAGTCAGGGTTGCTCTGAGCAGATGTCTTTTCTGGTGACACCTCCTCCCATGAAGAGCCTCTGCAATCGGAAGCAGATCGTACCAGGGACCCTACTTTCCACTTACCATGCATTACCAAGATTGCATCCTCCTCAGTGGATCAAGCCCATCCCCCACATGGGGATGGATATCTGAAAGGCATCATGAACATCACCAAAGGTGTCCCAGGACCGGAGGGTCCAAAACCCCAGAGCCACTCAGCCTTGCCAGGGCTCAGCTGAAGCCTGCTGTTCCCCTACCAACCCACCCCCTCCGGGCCTCCAGACAACAAAATAAGATCCTCCAGGATGCCAAGCGCCATCACCACAGCTCATTTCAGAAAGTATTTAGTCCGGCATTGCCATGAAAATGGGGGATTTGCGTATGAGGCAAGGCTTCCATTGGATGGACCCAGCCTAAGCCAGAAGTGGATCTCCTGGTGGTGCTGGATCCACTTGCCAAGGACATCCGTCCTGCTGCTGTGTGTAGCTGTAGCAGCCCTCCTAATGAATCAATCCCAGAGTCTGGATCTAGATCACCCTCCTCAGCCTCCTGCCCACTTCTGCAAAAACTCCTCATCTCTCGCCCAAGGGCTTCACTCCGTGCTAACAAATTTTCCCCACTGCTGAAACCATTTTCCAGACAATGCCCTTCAGGGCCAGTTCCTCTTGTGCCAGACCCCTCACAAGGGCCACCTCTGTCCTGGCATTTCACTAAGTTTTCAGCTAATTCCTCGGACTGATTTACCACCACTAGCACCCTATAACTCACGTTTAATTCTTTTCTCCCGTGGTTCTTGCATCTAAGTGGGAAATTATGTGCTGGATATTCACTCTCTCAATTGACCACGATGCAGCTACTTGACTCTCTAGCCGGGCAACCCGGATCATTTGCAGGCCTGGGCATCACGTTGCAATTTTCACATCCTGCATTGTCCCTCCCCCCACCCCAGTCCCCCGAGTATGTTGAATGGCAGAGCCGGGACATTCAACCTCTGTGGGCCAAGACCTCTGTGTTTCCTTATGGGAATTGGAAGCATTCCTAACTGGAAGTCCCCCTGTCCCTTTCTGAGATGTATCCCCTGGCCGAGACCAGGACCCATCAGCTGCCATGCTGCTCCTGATGAGGCCCACACTGAAGAATGGGGTTGAGCTGCCTGGATGTGGTCCTTCCTTCACTGCCCTCCAAAGGAACTTTGACTTAATGTGGTTTTCCAGCCCTGGAGCAAGCAGCTGTTTTGACTGACTGTAGAGCCTTGGAAGCCCAATTCTGTGCCATGCCCTCTGCTCTTTAGGATTTGCTGGTACTAAATGCAGTGATGGAATTCAGCCGGTTCGGGTGAACTGGTAGTTAAATTGATGGCTGGCCCCTCCCCTCCCCTCCCCATCCCTTTCAGGAGTCCACACGCACCTGTTTTCGCTCCCAGGAGGCTACAGGGAGGCCTCCTAGGCCCAAAATGGGGTGGCCCGTTTTTGCTCCCAGGGGAGTGCAGGAAGCCAAGTGCTGCCTGTCACACCTCCTGGCCACACCCACCCAGCTGGTCATTAGGGCAGAGAACCAGTTGTTAAATTCCCACCACTGACTTAAATGGCTGATGCTTTTCACCTATTTTGGGCATTTGCGATGGGGAGAGCTAAGGCTGGGAGTAAAACCTGCTGCTTAGAACAATTTGCATGATGATGGAGCGATTACGTGGGTGCGTCATTATTCCATTCGAAAACCAATGGCAATCCAACTCTTTCAGGATAGGAACAGCAGGTGCCAGCCTCCATTTCCTGTTTGGGATTATTCACTCAGCTTGACAAAGCTGAGGAATGAAATAACAAGGGGCAGACAAGCCCCCTCTTAAAATCTGATTGCAGTGCTCAACATCTGGAAGGAGGCAATGGACCCCCTCAGGGACTCCCAAAGGTTATGCACCAAACCTATCCTGGATTCTCTCCCCATTAAATGGCACACTTTGCCGAGATCCCACATTCATCCCAGCCCCCCAGGGTTACCTAATGAGACCCGACTAGGACTGACAGTCTGACAGAAACAGTTATCAAACAGAGCACAGTGCTTAGTCAAAACATGCTAATGCTTAAGGTCTTCAATTCTTGTAAATGCTATCCTGACCAGAAGCACCACAGTAATCATTTTATGTGGCTATTAAAGCACTAGGTCATTTATACTTGGAATAAAGTTGATAAAGCTTTTCCCCAAGAGGAAGGGGATTTGAAGGCTCAGTTGCTGTACCTCAAAGTTTTCCTGGTCAGCCCAGACCCTCCCTCCCTTGGAATTTCACACATTCCTCTGCTTGCCCATCCCTGAGCTGGGAGTCTCCTCCATCAAATGAGCACTGCATAAAGTGTTCGCTAACATGGAACTTGTTTTCAATGCCATCCTAGTTTTGGGAGAAAGTCTGCAGGAGGAAGCCTGTCCAAATACGGAGAAGTTCTATTAAATTCCTCCATGAAAGGACCATCATAGACAACTCTGGGAGTTTTTCATGGCTGATTTTACTTTTCCCAAACTTTAGGCCAACTTTAAAACTTGTGGACCAACTCCCAGAATTCCCCAGCCAGTGGAACTCCGCAAAGAGTTTCATTTAATAAGGGAGAGAATCAAGGATAGGTTTGGTGCCTTAAGTGTTGCTGACGGAAAGGCATACTAATCATATTCAGGCCTTGTGTGGATAAATATAATATGAGATTAATTTACACCAACTAGTTAGATTAAAAAATAATATGATAGTTATAAACCAACCCATCCTTTGCTACCCTTACTCCATGCACACAGTAAGTGGCCTAAGTTTTTAGTCGGCAGGTACGCAATACCTCCCCTGCCCCGTTTCTCCCCTGGAAGAAGGTGGCATGAAAGCCGGCTGTCTGGCTTTGGGCCAGTCTCTCTCTCTCTCTCTCTCTCTCTCTCTCTCTCTCTCTCTCTCTCTCTCTCTCTCTGCCCAATGCTCCTCAGAGGAGTCTTAGGCAGTATGTTCATCATCTTGATTTTTATAAAAACAATAAAGGCAGGATATAAATAAAATTCAAAGGTTCTGTTAGCGTTCCATGGCCACTAGGGGGCGCTGACACTGAGGCGCTCAGCATGTTAGGCGGGAAGCTGGGATGGCTCTTTTGCCAACCAGGCACCCTTTGGACCCGAGAGCCCCCTTCCTCCCCCCTCCTACTTTGCCATTTTGCCAGACCAGCCTCAACTATTGGTGTAGGCAACAACTCTCTTGGGGCTCCCAAGTGGCATCCCTGAGCCTGGGCATCCCTGTTGGAAAAGCAGGAACCTGCCTTGCAGCCATTCGCACGTTTGTTCTGTCCAGTCACGTTCTCTACCATTCTGTGCGGCTGAGGGATTTAGCCATTGTTATTCTTTATTCTAGAACTAAGTTCTGAAAACCAGAAAGTCCAGTTGCCTCTGGAAAAAGCACCTTTGGGAGAACGAGGAGTTGGATGACTGAGAACCTCCATAGACATTTAGCCTGTTTCTCCTGCACCCACCTCTCCCCTGGAAAGATGTACTCCTGGGTCTGAACCACTTCCACACCACAGTCCTTGGCCACCCAGGATCAGGTGGCAAGCTCAGGTGGCTGGGCAGGTGCTGGAAGAGGTGGGCCTCAGGTCACTGGCCAGCCTCCCTTGACCCACCCCCAACCCCTCTCCGCAGAGGGAACAGGAGCTCTGGGTTCAAGTCCAACCCTCTGAATGAGCCAGGAAGGGTATCAGATCCTGATTCCACCTGCTTGTAGCCAGGCTGGGGAGGTGACAAAGCAAGGAAAAGCAAGAACAAGCCATTATCTCTGTCCCAGAGACGGCAGGGAGCTACGATGATGGCTTGGTCAGAAGAGACAGATTTGGCCATAGGGGCAAAGAAACCAGCTCTACTCTCTCGCCTGTGCTCTAGAGGGGAAACTTGCCCACTATGGGCTGGACAGCCCAGGAGGAAAAGAGGGACCCTTGTATCGAAAGTAAAAACTCTCTTCAGAGTCACTTTAGGAGGCCCCTCCCACAAAAACACCCCACAAAAAAAGCAAGATGAAAAACACCCAAAGCAAACCCCTTCCCTCCTTCCCCAGAACTGGTGGTCACATTTTCTGTTATCATTCTGCCCAAATACCGTAAGGAAACTCTCCCCCTTGTTGAAAGTGGGGGAGGCTGGTGCCCAAAACAGGAAGGGAAGGGAAGGGAAGGGAAGGCAGGTGCTTGCTCAGACCAATATCTGCAAGAAGGGATGGAGAGCTTCTGCCTTTGAAGATCAACCTTCAACAGAAAGGAACCAGCACTTGATGGAGCAGCCGTGAAGGCTTGGAGAAGAGACACAGATGCCATGAGGGCTCTGGGTCTGCACAGGCCAGAATCCTGCAAGTCGTGATCCTTCCTGTGGCCCTCTATGGAAGCAAAAATTGGAGTCTGAAGAAGGAAGAGGACTGACCTCTTTGACCTTTGATCCTGGAAGAGATTCCCGAGAATACCCTGGATCACTAGACAAATGCCAAGACAAAAGCACCAATGGGTCACTGGACAACTCAACCTGACTGACAAAGGGCCCTCTGGGAACTCAAGGCCAGGAGAACCATGAGGCTACCTTTGGACTCGTTTCATGAGGACCCAGCAGCTCTCTGGAGAATGCGCTGATGCTGGGAGGAAGGAAGGAAGGAGGGGAGGACAGCCAGCAGCAAGGCGGCGCGGGTGGGGGGATAGGGACAGATCGGCAGAGAGAGAAATCTCCCCGGTCGCGAGGAAACGACTCCGAGGCTCCTAATCAACCACATCAATCAGGGAGTCGCCCGAAGGCTCAGCTGCGGGAAGACTCAGCGCCAGCCTCGCGCAGCTTCCGACGCCGGGCGCCCGTCGGGGGGAGCCGGAGGGCAGCCCAACTAGCACTCGAATAGCCGGGCCGGAGCCGCTTTCCGAAGCCGGACGCAAGACTGAGACTCTGCCGTCGGACATCCAGTTTCGCGGGAGGCGAAGAGCTGCGCTGCCGGAGGGGAGGGAGGGCACAGAATCCCTTCCGAACCTGCCACGCCGGTCTGGGAGACGCTTTCGGCCCGCAGGGGACGAGAGAAGCGGGCGCGCCCCCGGCAGCTCTCCTCCTGCAGGCGGCCGGGCTCGGAATGTGGCCCGACTAGTGCCGCTCGCCCGGCGGCCTGCACCTTCTCCACCCGCGCACCTGCCCCGAGAGCCGACGCCTCCACGCCTGGCCCTGTTGCTCCGGGGACTTCGCCGCCCGAAGCGCCGCTGAGACGCCCCGCGAGCCCGACCGTCCGTCCGTGGGCAGCGGCAGCGAGGAGGAGGGTGCGCACACGGTCGGGGCTTTCCACCTGCCCCGTCCTCCCCTGCGGCTCCCGAGCAATTCGGCGGGACTGCCCGGGCAGGACAGCTCCGGCGCCCGGGCCACCTCCGGCCCCACGAGCGGGACAGATAGCCGCACTCCGAGCCGACTCACCTGCAGAGGCCCCCGCCGCGAGAGGCCACAGGTAGCGAGCAGTGCCGGCGCCGCCTCCCCGCTTCCAGGCCTTAGGATGCCAGCCCGGAAGACGTCGCCCTGCCAAGGCCGGCCCCGCTGCCGGCTCTCTCTCGGACGAGCCCTCCCCCGGAGCAGAGGCGGCCGGGCCCGACGGGAGAACGCCTGGCTGCCCCGCCTGCCGCCCCTCGCTCCCTCCTGCGGCCTACGATACTTCGAGTCGGCGGCCGAGATGCTGCCGTTTCCCTGGGGCCAGGGCGCCCTGCCGCTCCATGCCTGGCCTAGGGGGTCCCGGGAACCGGCGGAGAAGCGATCCCCGCCGGCGATGTGGAATCTTCTTAGGCATCCCAGGCTCCCCAGTGCCCTTCTGGAAGGTGAAGGACTGCTACTTTAGGGACAGCTTGGGGTGTTGACACCCTGCCGAGGTTGCTGGGGTGGCTCCTGCTGGCCCTGGAAGCTGGATTCCCAAGACCCTTCCTGGGGGGGGGGGTGTCCTCGGGAGGGGAAAGATGTTCCACCAGGGAGGAGCTCTAGGCAGAACAGGAAGGATGAACGAGAACATCAGAGAACAGGACATGCTTCCCCCCTCTGCCTTTTGTGGGGCTGCAAGGCCACACGAACATCCTCCAAAGTTTCCAGGCCTCAGGCGATCAGAAGCTCCTTAAGATACCATTTCAAAAAGTATTTACAATTAAAAATTATGAATTTCTGATACACCTCTGAGCTCCAAGGATTCACCTTCACAGCCCCAGTGCAGCACTCGGTCAGAGGACCCCTCCGGCATGGCGAGGTGAGCTTTTGTCGGGCATTCGGGGCTTCCATGCCAGGGCAGGAGAGTGTGGCTCAGATCAGACAAGGCAGAGGGAGTTGAAAAAGGTTTATTGAGCGTAAACAAAGTGGTCACTTAACACCAGTCAAGGCAGGTAAACAAGGGAAGGTTAAAACAGCCCCCCTGTCTGCCCCCCCATACGGAGGGAACAGGAGAGACGGGGGGGCACAGGGGACAGCTCTCTTTGCTAGACCAGGGACCCAGCCTCGGACTAGGAGGGGCTACGGGGCTTCTCCCCTACACTCAGGCGACGTAGGAATCCCACAAGGCTACAGACCTCCTTGGAGGTGGGGGCCGAGGGGCTCTCTGGCCCCTTCACTTGGAAGAGGGCAGGCAGGCGGAAGGTGCTGGGGGAGAGAGGGCCCTGAGCGGAGGTGGGGGAGGCAGGCACAGCTGGGTGGGTGCTGAGCAAGACCTTGAGGCTCTGCCCGAAGCACCCGGGCTTCTTGCTATGGCTCGGGGGGACTGGGGGAGGGGGCTTGGGGGCAGCCTCGAGAGGCTCAGAGCAAGGGGGCAGCATGGTGAGTGTGTGGCGCCGGTTGAGGTGCAGGGGCCTCTCCCGTCCCCGGGGGCTCCCTGCAGAGGGGCGAGGACCTCGCGGGGGGCGGCTGCGGCGGCCAGAGGAAGGAGCCCAGAGGGCAAGCAGATCCAGGTCCACGTCCTGCAGGCCAGGATCTCGGGAGGAGCAGGTGGCAATGGAGCGCCGCTTCTGCTTCGCCTGCTCCTGCTGCCTCCGCTGCTGCTCTCGGTGCATGGCGGCCTCCCGGGTCTGGTTCTCCTGCGGGGAAGAGGTGAGCAAATTCCCTCCTCCTCAGCCTTTCAGGTGACCTCTGTGAACCATGCTCCCTTGGCGGTGGGGAGACAGCTACACCAAGGCTGGGGAGGGGCAGAAGGCCAGCTGGAGCTACCTCAATGGCCACGAGGAAACGCTCCCCAAAGGCGTGGAAGGTCCCGCAACACTCGGGCAAGCAGAAGGCCTCAGGGTCTTCGCAGAGGAAGTCAGAAAGCCTGGCTGTGGCCCGCTGGAGGTCTTGCTGGGCAGCTTTCACGGCCCTGAGTTCCAGCTCTGCCACATGCAGGAAGGGCCCCATCTGGCCCTCCAAGCCCAGACCCTCCAGGTCCCCCTGAGCTCCCAAGAGACTCTGCTCCAGGCTCTGCAATTCTGCTGCCACCTCCTGGTCATTGATCCTGCAAAGGAGAGCAACCACGGACACACCGTCAGGCAGGAGGCAGCAGAGCGGGCGGGATGGCCTTGCCCATCTCCTTGGCCCTGCAAGATGGGGCTGATCCGGCCTCCCCCTCTGCTCCCCCCCCCCCGGTCTCCTCTATTGCCTTCCTTACCGTGACGCAGGGGCTGCGTGCTGGAGCTTACGGGGGAAAAGCAGAAGGCTAGGGTCCTTCCTCTCAGCCTCCTGGAGAGGAGACAAAGGGTGGTCCAAAGGTGTCCCCTGTGGTAAGGCCTGAGGGGGGGGGCAGCACATGCTATGAGCCCCCTCCCCCTGCTTCCACCCAAGCCCCTTCTTTAGCCCAGAAGGATTTTCTCTAATACTCATTTCAGCCCATCATCTGGGGAGGGATTTGGAAATGGTTTAGCCCTATGAAATGTGTCCCCTCCCCTTTCTAGAGAACCTTTAAAAAGAAGACCTGGGTGGAGGATGCATTTGAGTGATTCACCACCTACCCACCAATCACACTGAATCTGCCCAGAAACTCTTATCAAGTTTCACAAAGAACCTGAGATGGTGCCAGGCCAAGGCGTGGAAGGAGGTCCCTTTATAACCAGGTCTCAGGGTCCTTCCACTTCACCCCTCAGAAAAGCTGCCCTGCAAGCCATGGTCCCCCTCCCCAGCAAAGACAGGTCAAGGCGGGCTCTTCGGCCCCCTCCCGGCCAGCCCTAAACACCAGCACCAATCTCCTGGAGCAGCTTCTCGAGGCAGCCAGTTTGTGTGTGTGTGTGTGTGTGTGTGTGTGTGTGTGTGTGTGTGTGAGAGAGAGAGAGAGAGAGAGAGAGAGAGAGATCCTCCCCCCTCAGGGCTTCCCTTTGTGTTCCAATAGCTTCCCATGGCTAAGCCCCCCCTCCCCCCAGGGCCAAATCCTTACCAAGGCCACAAAATGCAGGAGGTCCATGCCTGGTTGATTGCCCCTTGTGTCCGGCAACCTCAGGAGGGACGACACATGAAAGCCGCAGGCAGACCCGGCATAGCCTCCCTGCAGGAGGAGGAGGGGGGGCAAAGGAAGTCATGCGCCTGCACCGCCCACCCTTACAAGGCGTGAAGGCAGCCACGTTCTCTGGAGGCTGGCCAGGTGCCTCCCCCACTTAGAGAACCAGCGAGCTGCTTCTTCAGGTGACCGAGTTCCCGAGAGCCACAGCCCCCCAGGTCTGCTGTCCCAAGAAGAGCCCCAAGAAGGCACCTCATTCAGATAGTTTCCCATCTTCAGCACCAGCCGAATGAGGTCGTGCAGCTCTTCGCAATCCAGCAGCTCTGCGGGAAGGGAGGAAGTGAGCTGAACAAGGGGCAGGGCAGCCTCTGCCCCAGCAGGATCAGCCCCACCCTGGCCTTCTGCGGAGAACCTTGCCGGGCCCCCTCCCCTACCCGGACGATGGGCCCCAGCTTGGCCCCCACACGGAGGACAGTGGCCCCTCACAGTTGCACCTCCTGGTCAAAGGGGGTAGGGAGAAGAGAGCCAGGCTCCGCGCACCCAAGGCTGCCTTGGTCAGGGTCTGGATGGCTGACTGGAGGGCGCTGAGCTGGGGGAGCAGCTGCAGCTTCAGCACGAGGAGCTCTAGGCGACGGGCATAGCTGGAAGACAAGAGGGGGGTGGGGGGATCTGTCCAGCAATACCCTCAGAATGGCACCCTCCATGCCCAGACCAGCCCCTCACCTGGGCACTTGGACGAGAAGCAGTGCGAAGACCTCAGCCTCAGAGAGGCGGCTCCGGTCACCCTGGAAAGACTCCAGCTTCTCCACCTTCCCAGGAGAAACGGCAATCATGAATCTGGCAAGGGGGGGGGGGGGCAAGAGCTCCTCCACCCCTCCCCCAAGCTCCCCAATCACCTCCTTCCTGTCAGGAAGCATCTTAAAGAGCTCCAGCAGCTTCTCCGGCCCATAAGGGACTCCAGTGCCATGGTGAATATCAGCCACGATGTCTTGAACTGGCCTGGGGGTGAAGGGAAAGCTTCCTCGTGGCGTGTTCCACCCCAAAGCCTGGGGTCCCTCCCCCCCCTCCCCCCTCACCTCTTGAATTGCTTGAGGAAGATTCCCAGATTCAGGATTTTCTTGGCATCCAAAAGGGAGGCCTAAAATGGGGAAGAGACCCACCATTGAGATTAGGGGAGGGGAAGGAATTGGGGCTGTTTTTGCCCTCTTAAAAAGAGTTTAGCAGCCCCTCGAGCGCCACCACCTAGCAGTGATTCTCCATTTCTCCGGTTGCCCTGCAGAACCCCTGGTAGTTGACAAGAGGAGCACTGGACCCTGCTCGGTTCCATCTCTGGAGCCACAGGGGCCCCTGAGAATCCAAGCCAAGCCCCCAAAGATTTGGCCTTTGCCCCTGCTTCTCCCGTCCAGGTCCCTGGCCTCCCTGCACAGGTGCCTGCCTCATCCCCCATCACTCAACCTCACCTCCGAACTGGTTTGCCATTTATTTCCAGGCTGCTCAACTCCAGTGACTGGGTGGCTTGTTCGATGCACACTAGAAAACCCCAAGAGGCGCCCTCCAGACCTTCACACACACCTCCACCTCCTGGAAGAACTGCCAGAAATACTTTGCACTGGAAGCCACCCAGAGTTGGTTGAAAGAGGGGTGGCCATATACACACATTTTAAATGTACACATACATACGTGCATATATTCTGTGCCAACTGACATCCACCCCGTCCTTGTTAAAGGCAGCCCTGAGGTGAAAGTATGCCATTCCATCCCCCCTCCCACTCCCCCTCATGTACCCAGCTCAGGTGGACTCTTCTGGCCCTCCTTCACATTTCGGTGTATGGGGAGGGGAGAGAAGGAGGGAGAAGAAGAGAGGGGGGAGATCTCCCCTCTGCCGAATCTTCCAATTTGGTCAGATTACTCTAGAACTCATTTTGTCCTCCAGGTGTTGCTCCCATTGGTGGCATCAAAACCCAGGTCAATAAATAAAAAAGCCAGGAATAGCACCCACCCCAGACAGATCCCTAAGGGACCCTCTGGCCGTTAACTGTTTTCAGCCAGAAACACACAGCCTTTTAAGCAAAGAAACTATCAGGCATTACTTCCATCTTTCTTGGAAACAAGCAACTTGCAAGAAAACTATGCGCTGGTTTCACACACTCTGCTCAGTTGGGGGGCCTAGGCTGGGGGGCATTACACCCTCTCCCCAGAGAACAGCACTCAGTGTGTTGTGTAAATGTGGCCACAAAGTCAGTCATGTGAGTCCAGCGATGGGAAAGGTCTCCCCAAGACTGGATAGCCAATGATACCCCTCCCCCACCCAGCGGCATAACCCCTTCCAGAGGGAAGCCTGGGTGGCTCTTGAGCAAACAAGCCTTAATCCAGGGAGTTGAACCTCAATTAACATTCCACACTAGAGAAGACTCGATTTCCCTAAACTCCGAAGGATTTGGGTGAGCTTCCATTGTTCAGGGTGCTCTACCTGGCAAAACTCTTCTGAGGACAAAAGGACACCTCCCCCCAGACTATCTTGAGCTGCCTAAAGAAGGGCCGCAATTAAAGGTTTAATTACTATCAAGAGCCTTGATAGTACAGTGGTTTAGTGCACCCTGTCATTAACACAGCTGCCTGCAATTTCTGCTGGTTCGAATCTCTCCAAGGCTCAAGGTTGACTCAGCCTTCCATCCTTTCTAAGGTAGGTGAAATGAGGACCCAGTTTGTGGGGGCAATAAGCTGACTTTGTATAAAATATACAAAAGGATGAAGGCTATTGCTTAACGCATTGTAAGCCGCCCTGAGTCTCCGGAGAAGGGCGGCATATAAATCAAGTTAAAAAAAAAAAAAGTTAGACAGGAGAGAAGTGAAGGCCTGCCTGGCAAGGCTGCCAACGCGGCTCTTGCCCCAAGTCCCTCGGGGCGGCGGGGCTCTTCTCGCAAGGGGCTGAATTGGGGGGGAATTTCCTAGAGCCTTTCAAAGATTTGTTTGCATTGAACACTTCCTGTTTCTTTCGGGGCACAGTGGTGGTGGTGGGGGGGGATGTGAGCAGGTTGCGTAAATCCAGGCCGGGCTGGAAGCTTCAAAAATTCTCATTCAGAAAGAAGCAGCTTCGACCACCGGATTAAACTGTCCTGCGAAGAGCCCCCTTGAATTCGGGCTCCATGAAGCAAAACCAAAACGTGCTAGCCAATCTCGGGGCGGCGCCCAATTCCCCCCTCCTCTGGCCGGGGAGACCGAGCTGCCGGCCCGCGCCACTCTCTGGGCTGGCTCGGCCCTGCGCCCTCTGCGTGGCGCATACTAGGTGAGCCGGCCAGGAAGCGGCCGTCGGAAGAGAGAGACGCCGAGGGTGCGACGGGCGCGACCTGCCCAGCAGAGCCGCGATCCACCTCCGCCCGCCCTTACCTGCTCCGTCGCGGGGACGGCCCGGAGGCCACTGCCGGCCGGCTCCGCCCGCTGCCCGAAGAGCTCCTCCAGCAGACGCCAATCGGGTGTCCATTCGCCGCGCCGTCGCGCCGCCGTCCAGAGGTTGGGGCGCCCGCGGATGCGCTCCGGCGGAATGGCCTCCCAGTTGAAGTTCCGCAGCCGGACCGGGCGCCGCGCGGAGGACTTCTCGGCCGCCCCCTCGCAGGGCGCGGCGTCGACCAGGCTGATGGCCGGCGGGGGTGGAAGCGGCGGCGGCGGCGGCAAGGAAGGACCCGCGGGGGACGTGCGGGCAGAAGAGTCGGCGGCGGTCCCCGAGGCGGACGGGCTCGGCGGTCCCGGCCCCGTCCACTCCTCAGGCGAGGCCGCGGCGGACGCGCCCTCCAGAGTCACCATGGCCGGCAGGGGTGGGCGGTGGGCGCGCGGCGGCAGGAGAGCCCGGCGCGCCTTCGGCCGTCCCCTCGGGGGCAGCGGAGGGCGGGCGTGGCGCTCAGGCGAAGGGCCGAGGCGGAAGAGGCGCTCGCGCTCTTGTCCAGCGCAAGGCGGCGGCCTCTGCCCGGGGAGGCAAGGCGGGGCAGTTCCCTGGGGGACGTGCGGATCCGAGAGCTTCTTGAGGCGGGTGGGCTCGCGGGGAGGGCCGCGCCCGACCTTTCTTCGAGGGGACGTCCGGCGGAAGCGGCAGGCAAAGCTCGGGCTTCTCTCGGGGCGGCGGCGGCGGCGGCGGCATCTCCCTCCCTCGCTGGGCTGGCTCCGAGGTGCTCAGCCCGCCGGCCCCGCCCGCGCCGGCGGCGTCGTTGGCCTGGCCGACCACAAATCCGGCGTCCGCGGCCAGGTGCAGCCGCGGCCTTCGGGAGGCGGCTCCTTTCTGGCCTCGGCTCTGAGGGTCAGCTTCCGGCCGCGTCCTGCCTGGATCCGCTGCTACCCTCCTCTTCCCTGGAGCCCCGCTCACACCTACGGCCAAGTTCGCGTTGGGTTCCCGCGAGCGGCTTCCCGGGGGCATGGCCGGCGAGCAAGGACCAAAGCTCCCTTAAGGCCGGCAACAGCCCCGGTGGCAAAAGGAGAGCGGCCGAGGGACCCCGCGGAGAGGCTGTTGGAGGAGCGGACTCTCCGGTGGATTGTGTGGGAGCCCGGATGGCCGGTTAGGCCGCTTTCTCTGCCTCTCGCGCCCGCAGGACAGAAGGAAAGCCTGGAGGGCCTCGGAGGAGGGAGAGAAATGGTTGAGGAAAGCAGCTACTTCTTCAGACGAAGATTGTGGGCAGGAGAGGAAAACGGAGGTCCTAAGATATAAGGAGGAAAACTGCAGAGAAGGATTGAAAGAGGAAGAAAATGGTTTGGGAAGGATCAACCAGGCATCTCCAGCAGAACTGAATGGAACCGGAATGCTATAAAACTCCCCTTTCTGCCTGTGACCCTTTCACCAAGCTGTAGGGTGGTGTGTCCTCCGGCAACATTTTTGAACCATGGTTAGCCTCAAATGGGCTAACTTTACCAAATGCATCCAAAATTTGGGAGCCATGGAATTGAGATTTGGCAGATGTTATAAAACATTTTATAAATAGTGCAAAGTGTCGTAAAACATTTCCTGTGGTCAATTCCTGATGCTTGACCGCTAGTTCAACATGGACAACTTTCACGTATCCTTGAATTTTCAAGAGTCCAGTCGAAGCTCTGCCCTTTCTGAAGGAACTGCTAAGAGTCTGCTAAGGAAAGACTCTGAGAGGATGGCGATGGGGGAAAGGGGTGGTGTGATTGTCCAGTAAAGAAAAAAAGTGATTTGAGCTGAGGATGGAATGCATGAGATGCTTGTATCAGAATGATAGCAACACCTCAGAGTGGAATTGAAACAAATATTAGTCTCTCAAGAAAAAAATGCATGGAAAAATAAGTTGTAAATGCTAAAAAAAATGTTGAAAAACTATCAGACTGAGGATGCTGTAAATAGAGAAATGTTAAAACAGGTGTGATTCACATGCAGTGCCTTGACAACTTGTCTAATTGTGTGGTTGTAGCTGTGTCTGGCAATTAGAAGAATGCAAGGAATTTTCCTTTTGTATAATGGAACAGTAACTATAATGAATGTGAAGCCTATATGGAGATGTGTTTGTTTTGTGTGCCCACATTCAGCAAAATTCCAGCTGAAGGATATCATGATTGGAATGAGAGAAGTACAACTTCATATGCCAGATTGGTAGTGTGCAGACCATGGAATCACAGAAACTTAGGCCTGGAGGGGACCTTGGAGGTCTTCTAGCCCAAGGCAGGATCCTTATATCATCCCAGACAAATGGTTGCCCAATCTTTTCTTGAAAACCTCCAGTGACGGAGCACCCACAACTTCTGGAGGCAAGTGGTTCCATTAATTGTTCTGCCAGGAAATTTTTCCTTATTTCCAGACTGAAAATCTCTCACCAGCTTCCACCTGCCCTCAGGTGCTATGAAGAATAAATCCAGGCCCTCTGACAGCCCTTCAGCAGTACTGGAAGATGGCTATCATGACCGGAATTTAGCTATTCAGTAAACGGTGTGAAAGTGGAAACTTTATTGTACCTCTATTGATTTAGAGAAGAGGTCGGCAACTTGCAACCTGCAGGCCCAATTCAGCCCACCGCCTGTTTTTGTATGTCTGCAAACTAAGAACAGACTGATGGGCAGCAGATTGCTAGGCCTTGGGGCAGTGGCAGCCTATCAGCAGCCTCCCCTATGGCTGTTGCATTCCTTGGCTTGGAGACCTGCCAGCCCAGCTGTGCCCACGAAGATGAAGAGGGATGGGATCTGCCTGTAAAAGGAAAAGCTTGCTAACCCTCAGAGGACCAGGTGACGGTGGTTCTCACAATGACCCAGGAGCCCTAGCCACGGTGACCTGGGCCTCCTTGCCACTCAGTTTGATTACAGCAAGTCCCCCACGAGAAGGAACCTTGGAAGCTAGCTCTGAGCCAGAATGGGTGCCCAAGCAGTGAGCAGACCTAACCTCCTGCCAAAGAATAGCTCAGGGTGTGTGTGTGTGTCTCTTTATGGCTCCCTTCCAGGGACCCTCCTCTAAGGTCAGATGCCCCAAGGGTCTAATTGAGGCCTGCCTAGTTGGGAGTTGCTGGGGTCTTTCCTGGGATGGGCCTGGAGTTGTGCCAAGAGTTTTGGGAAGAGCTGAATGCTGGTTGGGCTGTCCCAAAAGTACTTTTCCAAAAGGCAACTGGACTTTTGTACTTTTCTTGAAGAGGTTTCACTTCTTTTTCAAGAAGAATCTTTAATTCTTTAACCCTTCGGCTGATGCTGTGCAACGCCAGGTCCGTGGTAAATAAAGCCCCCCCCATTTGTGATCTTATTCAGGAGGGGGGTGCGGACCTGGCGGGTATTACGGAGACCTGGTTGGGCCAGGAAGGGGGAGCCCCCCTTGTTGATATGTGCCCACCAGGTTTCCGTGCTTTCCATCAGCCAAGGTCTCAGGGGAGGGGTGGCGGTTGTTATTAACGAAGGTCTTGGACCAAAGGAGGCCACTGTTCCTCAGACGGCTGGATGTGAGTCCCTTCTTGTGAAGTGGGGTCATAGGGTGCAGTTGGGCTTGCTAGTCACATACCTAGCTCCCTGCCATGTGGCAGCAGCCCTGCCTGAGCTGCTTGATGTTATAGCCGCGGTGGCTGTTGACACCCCCAGGCTTATGGTCATGGGGGATTTTAACCTGTCATCAGTTGGCGAGACATCTGAGGTGGCTCGGGAGTTCATGGCTTCCATGACGGCTATGGACCTGACCCAGTTAATTTATGGCTCTACTCACATGGGGGGACACACACTGGACCTTGTTTTTGTCTCTGGACAGTGGTTGAGTGATCTCGAGATAGGGGATATAGTGATTGAACCCTTGTCATGGTCAGATCACTCCCTCCTTCGCCTGGACCTTCGAACCGCCACACCCCGCCGCAGGGAGGCGGAACCGACCAGGTGGTTCCGCCCCAGGCGCCTGATGGATCCTGAGAGATTCCAGATGGAGCTTGGGCCATTTCCTGAGGTTCTAGCACACGACTCGGCTGAGGACTTAGTGGCCGCCTGGGATAGGGCGGCGGCTGATGCTTTAGACCGAGTCGTGCCTTTGCGGCCTCTGACCTGGCGTCGGTCTCACCTGGCTCCTTGGTATACTGAGGAGCTGAGGGAGATGAAGCACCGGAAAAGACGCCTAGAGAGCAGTTGGAGGGCTAGTCGTTCTGAATCCGACCGAACGCTGGTAAGATCTCATATTAAGGACGTAGGACGCCCTACGCACGGTCACTCATGCCCTTGTTACTTCCCGGTTGGACTATTGTAATGCTCTCTACATGGGGCTCCCCTTGAAGAGCACTCGGAGGCTCCAACTGGTCCAGAATGCGGCCGTGCGGGTGGTTATGGGCGCAACTCGTTGTGCCCATGTGACACCCCTCCTGCGCGAGCTGCACTGGCTTCCAGTGGTCTTCCGGGTGCGATTCAAGGTGTTAGTTACCACCTTTAAAGCACTCCATGGCATAGGACCCGGGTACCTCCGAGACCATCTTCTGCCACCAATAGCCTCCCACCGACCAGTCCGTTCCCACAGGGTCTCCTCAGGGTGCCGTCAACCAAGTTATGTCGACTGGCGGCGCCCAGGGGGAGGGCCTTCTCTGTGGGAGCCCCATCCCTGTGGAACGAACTGCCCCCGGAAATTCGTAAGATCTCCGACCTCCGGGCGTTTCGCTGCGCACTGAAGACCCTATTATTCCGCCAGGCTGGACTAACAACACAATGGTTTTTAAATTGGGATATTTAAATTTATTGGGGTTTTAAATCTGAGCCACTTTATTTAATTATTTTAAATTTTATATTGTTGTTTTGTTTGTGTTTTTAAACAGGCTGTACACCGCCCTGAGTCCTTCGGGAGAAGGGCGGTATAGAAATAAAATTATTATTATTATTATTATTATTATTATAAGAATTACCTAGTGGCGATAAGAGTAGAGAAGAGTAACTACTTTTCTACTCTTATTGCGTCATCAGATAATCACCCAGCCGCCCTGTTTAGAGTGACCCGCTCTCTGCTCCATCAAGAGACGCGGGAAGACCCCTTGGAGGGTAGAGCTGAGGATTTTGTACAATATCTGTATGACAAAATTGCTCAGATTCGTGAACAGCTAGACTCTGATTGGATTGATCCAGAGGAGATGACAGGGGCAGGTCCTGAGAATATTATTTGGGAAGAGTTTGATCCTGTGACTCCCGAAAGCGTGGACAGGATACTGAACAGACTAAATGCGACATGTTTATTGGACCCGTGTCCATCCTGGTTGGTACTGGCCTCCCGGGAGGTGACGCGAGGCTGGCTCCAGGAGATTATAAATGCTTCGAGTGAGGGTGTCTTTCCCACCGTCTTGAAAGAGGCAGTGGTGAGGCCCCCCCTCCCCCAATGTACTGGCCGCCTGTAAAACAATTGGGGGGGAGGGCTTAGCCAAGGGGCGGGGCCACCAACAGGCGGGACTGGGAGCTCTGCACCTCTTGTGCTAGCCAGGGTGGCACCAGATGGCAGAGCTGCCTGCCCTTTTCTAGGTCGCCCCCCTCCCCCGATGCCATCCTCCACTTCGGCCAAGGCAAGCCCTGGGCTCCGTAAAGAGACTTCTGCAGCCATTTGGTACCGTTTATTGGGGAATCTTTACAGACGTGGGGGCCGGAGTGTCGGTTGGGCCGGCTAAGTGGAAGGCCGGAGTTTGCAACCCGCAGCCCCCACCGGGAACACAATATGGGACACTGGCCATGATGAATGCACACACCACACACACACGCACGCACCGTCCCCAGAGGCTGGAGCCAGGAAGTGTTTGGTCCCTGGCCCCCAAAACAGGGGGCCAATCTCATCTTGGGCTCTTCACCCCCAGAGCAGCCCCCGTAGGTCCAACACCACCAACCCATAGCTGCCTTCCTTGAAGGTGTGGGGCAGGATCAAGAGAACGTTCCCCAGGGAGAACAGGCCGAGGGATGGAGGCCCAAGGCCGGTGATGGCCAGCCAGGAGACGGAGAGAGCGGCTGGGATCAGATTGGGCCTGACTCCCAGCAGAGACCTTTTATTGGGGGAAGACGGAGGCACCCTTCTCCCCACCCTCAGAGTAAGAAAGTGCTTGTAACTTCCTGGCATTGCGGAGGGACGGGGAGGTGGGCTCGGCTGCCCCAGCTCTTTCCCTTCCCTCCGAAATGGGAAGGGACTTAACCCAGCCCCCGAAGGGCACGAGAGAGGAGAGGGCCCCACGGCAGGGCCCTCCCTCCAAGTCCAAGTCCATGAAGGGCGGGAGGAGCACGGCGGGGGAGGGGATGACCCCTGCTCACTGCTCCTCCAGCCAGGAGGGCTTGTCGGCCCCGGGGCTCTTGAGCTTGATGTTAAACTGTTTCAAGGTCTGCTCCAGCTGCTGCTGGTTGCCAGCGAAGTAAGCCGAGATGGCGTTGTGGAAGAGCAGGAGCTGCTTGTGCATCACCTTCACCTGGGGGGAGGGGAGGGGGGGAGTGCAGATCAGCGTCCATCTGGCACCAGCACCCTTGGTCAGAACCGCCCCCCCCTCCCTCCTCCGCCGGCCAGGCTCACCTTGTTCTCTTCCAGGAACTTCAGCTTGACGGCCACGTCCGCCCGCAGCTTCTCGTACTTGGTGCGATGGGCCTGGAAGTTGGCTTGGGCGACGTCCAAGCGACAGAGTGTGCTGGCATCCCGGGGCCCTAGGCTGAGCTCCTCCAGGTCTGTGCGGTAAGCGTCATACTCCAGCCTGTACCGAGTGTGTGTGTGTGTGGAGGGTCAGAGGGGCCACGGCAGCCCTGCCCTGACCGACCCCCTTCCCCTGGGGAGGACCCACCTGGCCGTCTCGTACTGCTTGACGGTCATGAGGGTGTCCTCCATGGTTTTGTTGACGAGGGTGTTGATGCTGGAGACAAAGAAGTTGACAGCTCCCAGCAGGGTCTCTCCATTCTTGCACAGCAGCTTCTGAGTCTCAGCGTTGTAGCCGAACTCCTCCTGCGAGGAGGCGAGCCAGAGATGAAGGAAGCTCCTCCCATCTGGGACCCACAAGCCCTGCCATGGAAGGGCAGCTGCACCTGCTCTGCCTCAAAGGGAGGCCTGCCCCCCTGCTTTAAGAGTGGGAGGAAGCTTTGGGCCCCCTCTGGGTGCTTTGGGAGGGAAGAAGCCGCCCTCCTCCTCCTCCCAGAGTCCTCTTTTAGCCCCCGCCCCCCGCCTCGCACATCCACCCCAGCCATGCCCTTCCCCAGGCCTCATCTCCATGCTGGAAGCCTGGCTCTGCCCTCGCTTGGATATGCCATTCGGGGGGCAAGGGGGGGCAGAAGAGGCCACCGGCTGCCTCCTCCTCCTCCTGGGAACAGCAGCTCCCTCATCCTCCCTGCAGCTGTCCCTGCCCGAGGGTCCCATGGGATGCCCCTTTTTCATGGGCAGCCGCCCCAGAGCAAGCATTCCCCTCCCAGAGCCAACAGCTTCACTCCTGCCACTGCCCGTCCCAGCAGGGTAAGTCAGCCTTCTGAAATGCCACAGGCCAAGGGAAAGCTCTTGCAGGGCAGAGCTGAGGATTTTGTAGTTTCTGCAAGATAAAAATCGCTCAGATCCGGACTGGGCTGGACTCTGACTGGGCAGAGTCTATGGAGGAGACAGGGGCTTGTCTTGAAGGTAACGTCTGGGTTGGGTTTGAGCCTGTTTCGGTGGATGAAGTGGACAGGATCATGGGTCGGCTGGGTGCCTCCACGTGTTTATTGGACCCTTGTCCCTCCTGGCTTGTTTCTGCAGCCAGAGAGGTGACTGGAGGCTGGATTCAAGCGGTTGTCAACGCTTCTCTGAGGGAGGGGGCCTTCCCCGCCACACTTAAAGAGGCGGTGGTTCGACCCCTCCTCAAGAAGCCCACCCTGGATCCAGACTCCCTTAACAACTGTCGTCCAGTCTCCAACCTTCGCTTTATAGCAAAGGTTGTTGAGTCCATGGTGGCACAGCAGCTCCCTCAGTTCCTGGAGGAAACTGACTACCTGGACCCGTACCAATCGGGTTTCAGGCGTGGTTACAGCACGGAAACGGCATTGGTCGCCCTAGTGAATGATCTCTGGCGGGCCCGGGACGGGGGTTGCTCCTCCATCCTGGTCCTTCTTGACCTCTCAGCGGCTTTTGATACCATCGACCATGGTATCCTACTGCAGCGACTCGGGGGGGCTGGGGGTAGGAGGCACCGTTTTACGGTGGTTCTCTCCTACCTCTCGGGTCGCTCGCAGTTTGTATGGACGGGGGGAGAGAGATCCACCCCATGTGGAGTGCCTCAGGGGTGGTTCTCTCCCCCCTGCTATTTAACATCTATATGAAGCCGCTGGGTGAGATCATTCGTGGTTTCGGGGTGAGGTACAATCAATATGCTGATGATACTCAGCTCTACATCTCCACCCCGGATCACCCAAGGGATGCTCTTTCTGTGATGTCCCGCTGCCTGGAAGCGGTACGGGCCTGGATGGGAAGAAACAGACTCAGACTCAACCCATCCAAGACTGAGTGGCTGTGGATACCGGCATCTTGTGATCTAGTGGCCCCGTCACTTGTGATGGGAGGGGAGGTCCTTACTCCCTCAGAAAGGGTTCACAATCTGGGTGTCCTCCTGGACTCATATCTATCTTTAGAAGATCATTTGACGGCCGTAACCAGGGGGGCCTTTGCTCAGGTACGCCTGGTGCGCCAGTTGCACCCTTTCCTAGATCGGGATGCCCTTGCCATGGTCATTCATGCCCTTGTTACGTCTTGGTTGGACTACTGTATCGCCCTCTACATGGGGCTGCCCTTGGGATGCACCCGGAGACTAGTTAGTCCAGAATGCGGCCGCGCGGGTTGTTACGGGGGCTTCTCGGTATTCCCGTGTGACACCTCTCCTGTGTGAGCTGCACTGGCTACCGGTGGTCCTTCGGGTTCGTTTCAAGGTGCGGGTGCTCACCTATAAAGCCCTACATGTCTTAGGCCCGGGGTACCTGCAGGATCATCTCCTGCCATCCTCCCATCGTCCGGTGCGCTCACACAGAGCGGGCCTCCTCAGGGTGCCGTCAGCCAGACAATGTCGGCTGGTGGCCCCCAGGGGGAGAGCGTTCTCTGTAGGAGCGCCGGCCCTCTGGAATGGGCTTCCCACCAGCCTCAGGACAGCCCCCGACCTCCTCTCCTTCCGCCGCGAATTGAAGATGTGGCTTTTTCACCAAATGGGCTGAATCCGTAGGGGTGATTTTAAATAATTTTAATTAATTTTAAATTGATTTTAATGTTTATGTAATTTTTTGTTCGTTCTTGTAAGCCGGCCTGAGTCCTTCGGGAGAATAAATAAATAAATAAATAAATAAATAAATAAATAAATAAATAAAGAAAGAAAGAAAGAAAGACAGACAGACAGACAGACAGACAGACAGACAGGAAGGAAGGAAGGAAGGAAGGAAGGAAGGAAGGAAGGAAGGAAGGAAGGAAGGAGGAAGGAAGAAAGCCTGCCCACCAAGAGGGTGGGAGGTCTGCCAGGAGGAGGGTGGGAGAGGTGAGCTCACCTGCAGCTCCGGGGACTTCTGGCTGAGGTCTGAGAAGGCGTCCGCCAGGGCATGCTGTGTCTGGACGAGGCTGTAGAAGTGGTTGGTGAGGGCCCGTGCCAGGCCCAGCAGGGACTCATACTTGCGCTTGGTGTCGCGCAGCAGCTCAATCTGGGTCTCCAGTTCCAGGTCGATGGTCCGCGAGCCGCGCCCAAAGCGCTCTGACAGAAGCTGCTTGGTGCACTGAACGGGTGGGGAAGAGCAGAGAAGAGGTTGGCTTTCGGGAAAGGGTCTCTTGCCCTTATTTGCCTGGTGACTCTGAGAAGAGCGTTCCCTGAAAGCCGTCAGAACAGCCGGAAATCAATTTACAACAGGAACAAAGATGGCCAAGACCTGAGGAAGGGCACTTTCTCTGACACTGAAGGGGCTGGCGGTTGCAGCTGGGGAGCTGCCTCAGAGGAAAGGGGACTGCAGGAGAGGCACACCCTGACCAGGAGAGCAACCCGACAGCCCTCAGCTAATGCAGGACAGCTGCCTAGGCCCAGGCCCTCCGCTCAAAGTCCCCACAAGCATCCAGGGAAGCTCCTCACATAGCCCCACATAGTCCAGGGGCTACATGAGGATGTTTTTTGTAGATTTTAGCTCTGCATTTAACACAAAACTTCCACATAGACTAGTGTCTAAACTTATGGATCTTGGACTTTCTTATTCAATCTGCCTTTGGATTATAGATTTCCTGTCTGGCCTCTCTCAGAGGGTCAGATTAGGTAATCATATCTCTTTCAGCCCTTATTCTTAAGACCACAGGGTTGCGTGTTGAGTCTCTTACTCTATACTCCTTATGTGCATGACTGCTTTCCCACTCACGCTAGTAATACTATTACTAAATTTGCAGATGATACAACAGTGGTGGGACTCATCCTGGGGAGGGACAGAGTCTTCCTATTGAGATGAGGTGGACCAGTTGCTTTCGTGGTGTGGAAAGAATAACTTGTTCCTTAACACCAATAAGACCGAGGAGCTTATAGTGCACTATAGAAGGAACAGATCAGACATCCAGCCCTTGCTTATCAATGGAGACCAAGTGGAGCAAGTGGCCACTTTTAAGTTTCTTGGTGTTATCCTAAAAGAGGAGCTGACCTGGAGCACTCACATTGCAGCACTGGTCAAAAGGGCCCAGCAGAGATTATACTACCTGAGACTTCTCAGGAAACAACAACTGAATGGAAAACTGCTGGTGACTTTCTACCGCTGCACCATAGAGAGTATTTTAACTTCCTGCACCTGTGTCTGGTTTGCCAATTGCACAGGGGCAGATCGGACAGCGCTCCAGAGGGTCAACGTCATTGCCCAGAGGATCATCGGTTGCCCCCTCCCCTCTTTGGAAGAGCTTTATAGCTCCCGCTGCCTTAAGAAAGTTCAAAACATTCTTAGATTGTATGGTATAATGCAAATTGACTCAAATTCTAGACTAGCTTGTATAACAGAAGGGAAGAAACAGCCATAATTAAATATAGAATTAATGAGGATAATATATGAATATATATGAATAGAATGAAAATGCACAAAAGATTTGTAACCAATTGACACACTGTTTGTATTGGTATTGAAGATGGTTTGTTTTTATTTGTTTTTTATATTTGTTTTAAAAAATAAAATTTTTGTCAAAAAAAAAAAAGTTCAGAATATTCTTAAAGATCCATCTCATCCTGGGCACCCTTTTTTTTTAATTATTATCACCTGGCAGATGGTACAGGATAATAAAAACAAGGACAAATTGGCTGAAAAACAGCTTCTATCCCAGGGCAGTAACTATATTGAATTCTACTGTATAATGCAATATTAATGCAATATCAGGTTTTCAATTCAATTGTATAGAATGTGAAGGATGTATGTTCGTGTTTTATTTTTATAGTTATAATGTACACGGAAGATGGCATTTAATTTCGTTGTACGAGGTGCAATGACAATAAACTAAACTAAACTCTCCCCACCGGCTGTCACAGGCTGCCTCATCCTGGAGATTGTCCGCAGGGCCCTTAAAGGGACCCGAGGGACAAGAAGAGCCAGTGGCAGCCCTGCAATGCCTGGGACTCCATTCAATGCCTCCCCCCATTCCCAAGTGGACTTACTTTGTAAGTGTTGATGCCCCATTTCCTGACAATGTCAAACTTCTCCACGGCCACTCCTCGTGTGGCAGCCGCCGCCGCTGCCTCCTCCCCCGTCATGGCTGGGTTGGGGTGGGGCTGATGCAAGTTGGAGCCTGCAGTTGGCAAGAAAGGATGCCCACCAGAAAGACGGCAACCACCTTCCCTCCCACCTGGCACATTTCCCCACTGAAAGGGCTGCAAAGCCCCCATTTCCCTAGAGATTTCCCTCCCCCCCCCGGCCCCACGCAGGGCAATACCTGTAGCCATGGGAGCCTGGCTGGCTATGCGGCTGGCAGCTGAAGGGCTTGGGGAGATGAGTGGTCCTCGGGGAGGGTGAGATGGAATGAGGGAGCCTGAAATGGAGGGCAGTGGAGGGGGGGGAGCCGCACCAGAGGGGGTAAGAGAACACGGGGGGGGGGGGGCGATGAGTGTGACACGTGGGCAAGGAGATGAGGCGAGATGGGAGGTGGCATACCAAGGAGCAATGAGACAGTGACAACCCCCCAAGCCGCCCACCTCCCTCTTGCCTCAAATGGAGCTCTGGGGGGACGGACATGGCTGCTTGCACAGGGGAGGGGGCTTCCAAGCGCTCTCCAACCCCCCGGCTGAGAAAGCTAGGCAATAGCCAGGCAGCGCCCCCCCTCCCCCCAGCAGCACCATCAGTCCCTGCAAATGCTGACCTTTGATGATACTGGTGGGGACGATGCCCTCAGCCGTTCCCCCATAACCTCCAGAGACAATGCTGGTCTCGTTCAAGTTGGGCCCCGACACCATCACTTGCTGCAGGTCCTAAGGAAGGGGGGAGGGGGAGGAATCAAGCTGCCAGCTGTTTCCCCAGCAGGACTACCAAGGGCAAGGAACCCCAGAAGACACAAAAGGGCGCCTTTCTGGCTGCTGGCCTGTGAACAACGGGAATCTCGCCACTTGCTACAAAACTGCCAAGCTTTAAGAAGGGTCCCCTTTCTTCAGCTGCTTCCCCCAGGCCTCTCAGCTGGAGTCCAGCACAGCGGGCCTTTGCCTTCAGGTGGCCAGTGAGAATCCTCAGGGGCCAAAGCTATCGGGTGGGAGGGCGGGCGCCCGCCCAACAGAGGAGGGCAGTGTTTTCATACAGTCAGCACTGGAATGGACCCGGGAGAGCTTCTAGTCCAGCCTCTGCTCAGGGCTAGGTCTACCAGAGGAGGGTTTTCTAAAGGGCATTCTGCAGAGCACTAAGCCCAGATCTCTTGAAAAGGACAACACTGTCCTTAGAGATTCGCCTCTTGACCAGGAATTCTGGGAATCTATTTTAACTAGAGGGTTCTGCAACCTGAACAAACACCCCCCCCCCCGCTGTCTCCCCCCGCCCGGCCCGGGAGAAGACGGCACCCAGCTGTGTGGGCTCCAATAGTGGAAGTTTTTAAAAAGAGACTGGACAACCATCTGTCTGAAATTATATAGGGTCTCCTGCTCCAAGGGGTTTGGACTAGACCTCCAAGGTCTGTTCCAACGCTGTTATTCTATGTTTTACCTTCTGTTTGGGAACCTCTAGGAAAGGTGAAATGCCCACTTCCGTGCCCACCTGGGCCACTGGCTCTTGTATCTAGCCTGAGCCACCTTCCTTGAATGGCTTCTGGCCAGCTAGAAGGTCCTATCCCGCTTCTGCTTGGCAAACCTTCAGATAGTTGAAGGCCGCTTTCATCAGAGGTTAAACATAAGCAAACTGAAGTGCTTGGCTTGGAATCCTTTGCCCTCTCAGCGGCCTCCCCAAACTTCCTCCAACTTGCACCCACCTTGTTGGACCGCCCAGGGCTCCAAACGGGATCTGGTGGGACAGAGAGGAACCCGATCTTCGTGAGGTGTGTTTTCTGCTTTTTCCTGCCTCCCTTCCAACTAAGGCCGCTTCCCCTAGGAGTCTTGGCCCGAGGGAAAAGGATCCAGGATCTCACTTCCTTCTCCTCCCCCTCTCTATACCTGCTCCAAGCCGTCGTCATCCGCCAGGCGCCTGGAGTCTCCGTTGCCGTGGATGGCGATCTCCATGGTGGCTGCCTTGCTCATGGATCCTTCGCTCATGCTTGGTGCCTGTGGGGCAACGGGGTGCGGGCGGGGTCTTGAGGTGCTCGCCCTCCCCCCTCCCCCCGCCGCCTCTTCCGCGGACGGCACTGCGACGCCTCCCAGGGGGCTCAGCCCGGGGCAGGTGCGGTGCTGCAGCCTCCTGGGGAGCTCCGGGCAAAGGGGCAGATCGGCGGCCGAGGACGACTCCCTACCGCACGTACCCGCACCCCGGCCGGCCAAGGGGGGCTTCCTCCGCAGCTGCAGGCGGGCTCCCCTCTCTCCGGCCGGCAACAGCAAACCTTTCCCGGCGGCGCCAGCGGGAGCCGGGGCTACCGGAGTCCGCCCCAGATCGGGCTCCGGTTTTCGCGGCGGAGGTGCCTCCTGCCGCCCCCGATACCCGCGGACACCCCCGCCGCCCGCCCCGCGAGAGCGGCTGCGAGGGAAGCCCCGTCCCCGGCAAGGAGCGGCCCCGCCGGGCGCCCGCAGCACCGGCCGGGGAAGAGTGACGCCGGAGAAGGCCGGGCGAGGCCGCCGTCGTGGCCAAGAGCCGCACAGCCCTCGGCCGCCCGGAGCCACCACCGCCGCCCCTCCCGCCCCAGGAGGCCGCGCCGCAGCCGCAGCCCGCCCGCCCCCCGCCCGGCGCTCCCCGCGGCCGGGGGACGAGGGAGCCGGTGCGCCACTCACCCGCTGCGGGCCGGCCCCGGAGGCTCCGGCGTCGGTCGGGCGCGCGTCGGCCCCAGCGCAGGCAGAGCGGAAGCGGCGTCGGGCGGCGGAAGTGGCGTCACGGGGAGCGGAGGGGAGCGCGCCCAGCCCCCATGGAGGATCCCGCGCCGGAGACGCAGCAGCTGCGCAGCGTGAGCGATTCTCCCCCCCCAACCTTCTCCCTCCCCCTCCCCCTCCCCGGGCGGGCGGGCGGCTGAAGCGTCGCTCTCGTTGCAGCTGCGGGACTTCCTGCTGGTCTACAACCGGATGACGGAGCTCTGCTTCCAGCGCTGCGTGGCCGACCTCAACTACCGCGCCCTGACCCGCCACGAGGTGAGGCCGGGCGGGGGGTCCGGTTCGGGGGTGGGCGTGGGAGCGAGCGAGCGAGCCAGCGATCGAGCCCCTCCCTCCGTCTCTCCCCCTCCCTCCCTCCCTCCCTCCATCCCTCTCTGTCCCGCCGCCCGCAGGAGGCCTGCCTGGACGGCTGCGCCGGGAAGCTGGTGCGCTCCAACCACCGCCTGATGGCCGCCTACGTGCAGCTGATGCCCTCCCTGGTCCAGCGCAGGATCGCCGACTATGAGGCCGCCGGACGCGACCCCGCCGCCCTCCCGGGGCCCGACGCCTCTTGACCCGCCTGTGCCCGCGCCGCCTCCGCGATGCCCGTTTTGGGAGGAGCGCTCGGAGGCCCCGAAGAGCGCCGGGAAGCCCCGCGGGCGCAGGTATCCTTCGAGCGGAGGAGAAGCGGCAGCGGCTGCAGGAGGACGGCTGAAGGGGGACCGCTTGGGAGCTGAGACGGGCCCCTTAGGAAAAACGGGCTTTTCCCAAGGCCCGGCTGAGTCGCCAGCTGAAGGAGGCGCTGCCCACCAGACGCCCGAAGGGCTCAAGGGGAGCTTTCCGTGGCTGAGAAGCATCCTGGGCCAGGCGAAGGCCCTTGGGGCCCTTGAAACCCAGCCTTCAAAGCTCTTTGCTAACCCCCACCTCTGTTTACCAGAGGCTGCTTCTCCCTTTCCCAAGCCGAGGTGGAGGCAAGAGCCTAAAACGCCCCTACCTGAAGGATCCTGGTCAAGGACCATGCCCGGCCCTGGACTGGGTGCTTGGAGGAGGACTCTGACAATCTAGAATTGGCACCGGTGGAATCTGTTGTCCTAAAGGGTGCCTCAGGTGGCCTTGCCTCTCCAAAATGGCTCAGGAAGTCCCCATGCCTGATACCTGAGATCCATTGCGCCGCTGAGCATTAAGCTTAATTGGTTATGCTTAAGTGAGCATTAAGCAGGCCTGGCCTGGCCTGAGCCACAGCACTGGGTTTTCCTGAGGCACACTTGCTTCCAATGTGACAGGGAGGGCCTGCGGGCTGGTGGTCTTTCAGGGGGCCTGTGAGATCATTGCTTTGAGGCTGGCAGCAGCAGCAGGACCAAGACCCTTCTCCCTCGCATGGCATGTGGGATGCGAGGCAGGAGTGTATTAAGGTCCTGGAAGGCCCCATCACACAGCATTCCTGCTAGAAGAGCTGCAGGGTGGTCCTGGGGATCCAGAGAGGTGAGGGGCTCTGTTCAAGCAGAGGCTTTCATAGCAGGTAGCCTGAACGTATCTAGGGAAGGCGACCCTTTAATGTAACTGTATTCAACCTCTGGGAACCCACTGGATGATGTGTTGAGCTGTTCAAAGGAAGGTAACTTCCTGGCTTCTGGTAACCATGGGGCAACGGTGGAAAAGTGGCTTTCCACTGCTTTTTCCTAGTCTGGTCTAATGGCGAGGCCTGAGTTAAAAGACACAATTGGTTAGATTGGATTTTTTTATTACATGTTAAATTCAGTAATTGAATTACCTCATTTTCAGAATGTACACTGTACTTGGAATGCTACAGCAATTACAGTCTTGTTTTTTTGGATTGCATTAAATGATGAAAGAGAAATCGATACTGTTTCTGAGTCTAGTAACTCATCTCATTTGGCAAGAATTTCATGCTTTGTGTAGAGAAACATTTTTTTTTATTGAAAAGTTTTACAAAAAAAAAAAGAATCCCCCCCCAATACTCCCCCCACCCTTTCCTTCCCCTCCCCCCCACAGACTTCCCAGAGCAAAATACAGGGTATTGCATTTAACAAACATAATCTAACATAAGCAAACTAACTATAAACTCTTAACTTCCTCTTACTCTTTAACTCCGCCATAGGTACTAAGATATCAAAGTAGGAAAAAAAGATCATCTGAATATTTCATTCATAAGCTATTTGCAACTTTTTAGTCCCGTATTTGTTTTGTATATAGTCACTCCATCTGTTCCCGGAGCTTTCCCTGTTTTTAACTGCTTAATTGCAGCAATGATCTCCTCAGAAGTTATTGGTTGATTCAATCCTTCCCTCTGTTCCAACGTTAATTCCGGAATATTCCCTTCCTTTAAGTATATCTATACCTTGTATTGAGTCACTAGCATATAATTTTGTATAAAATTCTAAAAAAGCCTTTTTAATCATATTCTGTTGGTAAACTTCCTTACCTCTATATTCTATCTTACCAATGACTTGTGATTTCTGTTTTTTCCTCAGCATGTAGGCCAACCACCTACCTGGTTTATTGGCATTACAAAATGTATTATGTTTAGCATATTGTAAGCTAGTTGTCACCTGATCAGCCATTAACATATTAAATTGCCCTCGTAATATATTTATTGTTTCTTTTACCTTTTTATCTCCTGGATTAAGTATAAGTAATTGTTCTTTCTTTTTTATTTATTTCTCTATCTCTTTCCGCTTCTTTTGTTGTTTTAGTCTATGTTTATTATTCATATGTATTAACGTACCCCTCATATAAGCCTTACTAGCATCCTAAACCATTTCCATAGAGGTACCCTTGTTCATATTAATAGCAAAAAATTCTTTCATTTGTTTTTTAAGCTCTTTCACATTTTCTTCATATCTAAATAAATTTTCATTTAATCTCCAAGACCTCCTTTCTCCCCTTTCCTCATGCTTTGTGTAGAGAAACATTGACCAGTTGTGGGATTTATTCCTTGAGATCAGCATCTGGTTTATACGGAACAGCAACATGTCTTGGTTACACAGTTCACCTTTATAGGTGAGGGGGATCCTTCTGTGGGGAGGGGAGGGCAGGACAGCTTTATGCCATCTGGGATGCACAGCCCAAAGATTTGCTCTTCCACAGGTCATGGAGGAACCATGCAATACAGAAATTTTATTGTACTTTTGCCAGTTTAGAGAAAACAAAGTGAACGTGCTTGTACTGTGGAACATGTTGCATGAATATGAAGGTGGGTTGGGCTCTTTGGAGAGGGAAGCCACCCTGCTTCCCTGCAGGAGCACAGGATGAGCAAGGGAGAATGTGAATGTCCCAGTGGAGCCAGGGTTAAATGGAGCCTAAAGAGCAAAAACAATGCCAAGAGAAGGAGTTTATCTTTGTTCCAGCCAGGTCACGCCACCCCTGGATGGTGGGTCCAGTTCTGGGGGCTGCACATGAGGCGGGACCCTGACAACCTGGAGTGCATCCTGAAGGAAGCAGCAAGGATGGCCAGGGTTCTGGAAAGGAATGAAACCTGCCAGGAACAGTTGCAGGTGTTCAATCAGGTCTGGCTAATCTGAAGGAGAGGAAACCTGCTAAAATAACTTAAAGGAAGCTAGACAACAGGGTAGATTGAGGGTAGAACCCCTAGAATGAATGCCCAAGTGAGGCAAGGAGGTCCACTCGGAGTTTTGATCTATGTATGGAAACGTAGAATGTTTGTGATGTCCTGTTAGCCTGCATTTTTCTGGACGGGATGTTTGACAGGGAAAATGGAACGAATTTATCAGATTTATACACTGCTCTCATCTCACCGGAGTGATTTTGGGTGGGATACAGGTAATAGCCAAACAACTATTATAAAAGAACCCAAAAAACTTAACAAGTGTTTTTTTTTTAAGCCGCCTACCTAAGGGTTTCGAGTGCGGGCCGGTCCTGCCTGCAGGGGGCGCGGGAGGGCGGGCCGTTGGGGCCCCTAGCGACGCCGCGCGCGCCCCTAGCAACGTGGGCCCAGCCGCCATGGAGCCGCCCGACGGCCAGCAGCCTGTCCCGGGGCTCCCCGAGGCGCGGCCCTCGGACCCCGGCGGAGCTTTCCCGCGGCAGCCGGACCCAGCCTGGGCGCGCTCCCCCCGGCGGCGCCTGGCCACGCAACTGCGGGAGGCGGGCCGCGCCGAGCCGCGGGAGGTGGAGGCGCTGCTGGCCGAGCTGCTGGCCGTGTGCCGGGCGGTGCTGCGGGGCGGCGGGCGGCGTGCCTGGCTGCGGCTGCTGGAGGCGCTTCGGCTCTGCGCGCCCTTCCGCGGGCTGCTCTCCGGGCGCGCCCCGCTGCCCGCCTACCTGCGCGCCCTGCGCTACCAGGCCTACGGGAGCCGGGCGCTGCTGGCCGACCTAGGCCTCTGGGGGGCGCTGCGGAGGGCCTTCCCCCACGAGTACGCGGCGCTGCGGGACGAGGCCGAGGTGCCCTGGCCCCTGGCCCTGGCCGCCGAGGCCCGCCGCCTGCCCGCCGCCCCGGAGCCGGCCTTCGCCGGGCTGCCCTGCCCCTTCCGCGCCGCCTTGGACGCCCCCGCCGCCGGTCTGCTGCGCCCGCGCCCCGTCTCCCTGCCGGAGCTGCAGCGCTGCGTGGGGCCGGTGGGCGGCCGGTTGGCCCGCCGGGAAGCCCCCTGGGAGGCCGGGCTGGGCATGCTGCCCCTGGCCCTGGCCGCCGCCCTGCCCGTGGACTTCGCCTGCGCCGCCCGGTGAGCCCCGCCGGAGGGAGGGAGGGAGGCCGGCAGTTAGGGCCGCCTGAGCCCCTGACCCCCCCCCCCCACTCCTGCCGCAGCCCCGCTCTGGAATCCGCCGTGGTCGCCAGCCCCGCACCGGCCCCCGCCGCGGCAGCCCCGGCGGACAGGCAGGCCCCGATGAGCGGGCTACAGGTAGCCGAAGTCCTCTCCGGGAGGTACCACGCGGGGGAGATCCGGTTCTTCTACCTGAACACGGCCCAGAACCGGCATTTCAGGTAACCCCGTGGCGCCCGAGGCTCCCCTCTCCCTGTGCTCGCTGCGGGGGGAGGAGCTTTGGCAGCCCCCGCTCGCCGGGCTTTTGCTCCCTGCAGGGCTGTCTTCCCTCCCCAGCCGGAGGGCAGCTTGCAAGAGAGCCGCCGGTTGCGTTCCCTTCGGAGGTGCTGGGGACGGGCGTGATCGGCTGGCGTGGGGCGGCGGACTGGGCGTTCCCTTCATGCCAGGCAGGAGCCTCTAAGGCTGCAGCCTCTGTCCGGAGGGGGGGCTCCTGGCAGGGCTGGGAAGGGCCGGGACTGCCCAGCCTCTCCGGGGAGATGTGCGTTGTAAAGGGGTTTCTTCGATGGCGTTCTTCCTCCCGCCCTGGCTGCAGGCCTTACGACCTAGTGACCGTTCCGGGCTACTTGATCAAGCCCCAGCACTATGTCTTCTCACCTTTCGGGGTGCTGTGCGTGCATCCCGAGGAGGGCTCCGAGGCGCTTTCCTTGGGCGACTGGCATCGGGAGGCCAGGCTGTGGCAGCTGATGCAGTACATTCCCTTCTTCCGCCTTTTCTTGGTCCACAAAGCCTTCACTCGGTAGGAGGCCTGGGGGGGTGGAGATGGGGGATTAGGAGATGCCCCTCCTGCATTGTCTGTTGTTCTGTGGAGAGTTGCTTGGAGGAATTTAACTCAGCCTTCCTCAGCTGGTACTTCCCCCCCCTCCCTCGCCCAGGTGGTACTTTAATGTCAAGCATTTGCAATACTTGAAGCGCCGGGAGAAGCTGAGCCTCCAGTTGCTTCAAGCGGTGCCCCATTTTGGAGCCGCGCTTCTTCACATATCCAGGTTGGGATGCAGAGAAGGCAGCAAGGAGGTTTCGGCACAGGGGTCCTCTGCCGCATCGCGGCCTCTGCAGAGGTTTCTCTCTTTTCTGTTTAGGCTCTTGCAGGAGCTGCAAGCCGTTCACTGGCTACCAATGGGCACCAGCAGGTGTTACAACTTCGTTGAACTCAAGCGATCCCTGGCCCAGATGAACAGCAACGCGGACGGGTTCCTTCACAGGTTCCTCTCCCTCTGCACCTCCATCTTGGAGCTGGTGAGCCTCGGCCTGAGTGGGACAGGGGCTCTTGCAAGGGGGAGGAGCGGGGATTTTCAGGGGAGTGGTAAGAAAAGGCCCAAGCTGATCAGACTCTGTGCGTTGCAAAGACCTCCTTCTGCTTATAGAGATGGCCTCTTTCTCTCAAGGAAAGCTTTGGAGTAGATTGCAAGAACCAAGAAAATAAATCTCCTTTTAACTCTTGTCACATTTCACATTGGAGATGCAGCCTGATCAGTGGTTGTGAGCTGATGTGGGGAGCATATTTCAGCGAGGCAATTTAATTTAATTATTTCAGTAGGTTTGTAATGATCACACACTCTGTAAGAATCCAAGAAACTAAGCATGAAAAAGCAGTCCACACTAAATGACAAGGCAGCACACAAAAAAACCCTTACACAGCTCCCTAGATTTACTTGTTCTTTTTTTTTTATTGAAAAGTTTTAAAATGTTTTACAAACAAATTCCCCCCCTTCCCCCACCCCTTCCCCTCTCCCTCCCCCCCCCGACTTCCCAGAGCAAAATACAGGGTATTGCATTTAACAAACATAATCTAACATAAGCAGACTAACTATAAACTCTTAACTTCCTCTTACTCTTTAACTCTGCCATAGGTACTAAGATATCAAAGTAGGAAAAAAAAAAGAGATCATCTGAATATTTCATTCATAAGCTATTTGCAACTTTTTAGTCCCATATTTGTTTTGTATATAGTCAGTCCACCTTCTCCATTCCAGTACATATCTTTCATTCGAACGGTCCTTCAAATATGCAGAAATTTTAACCATCTCCGCCAGATTGGCTACTTTTAATGTCCATTCTTCAATAGTAGGCAT